CAGGACCCCCATTGCCCCATTCCAGCCCATGGGACCCCAAGCCCGTGGGCACTGCACGGTACCCATGTGTGGCACTCACGGCGGCAGGCGTTGGTGCTGGAGCCCTCGGCCGGGCGCCAGGGCAGGTCATGGTAGAAGTCCTCACAGCGCTCACAGTTCAGTCCTTGTGTGTGGTGCTCGCAGACGCAGCGCCCATGGACCTGTTGGGGTGAGCACCCACCTCAGCATGGCCACTGCATCCCACAGGACACCATACCGGTGCTGTGTGCACCTCACCATGCCGGGTGCTGTGGCCGCCGGGGCACCGGGTGCCGGGGCGCATTGGGCAGCGTGTCCATGGCAGAAGCAGCTCCCGCGCAGCACCAGCTCATCCACAGCATAGTAGTACTTGTGCAGCACCTCGCGCCGCGTGTCCAGCAGGTTGTCCCCCAGCGTGTGCAGCTTGGTGAGGTTCATGCGCAGGTTGGTGACGCGCAGCAGGTCTGGGGGATATTGGTGGCACCATCAGCACCCACCCTGGCACCCACCAATGCTGGCACCCCCCGGACACGCACCCTGGATGGCCGGGCTGTAGGGATCCGCCACTGGGATGGAGGGGTCCAGCACCTTGAAGATGACCTGGGAGGAGGAAGGGGAGGGTGATCCCAGATCCCATAGACACCCAGCACCCCATAGACACCCTCTGTACCCACACACCTCCCCATGGCTGGAGGGCTCAATCTCGGAATAGCGCTGGTCACACAGCACCTCATCCACCAGCCCCGAGGGCTGATCAGGAATGCCGGGGAAGAGCTTGGAGCAGTTGTAGGCAAAGTATCGATAGACCTTCCAGCTGTGCCCAAAGTCGGCCGAGCGCTCCACCAGCATGGCTGCGGGCCGGAATGTCTGCAGGATACGCAACATGGACCTGGGTCCATCCCAACCCATCCCATCAGAAGGTACTGATACCCACCTTAAACTTCATGATGAGGTGTGTGAAGTGAAACTCGACCTCCAGGTCCAGCTGGATGCTGACATGCTCTACGCCTGGGGATGCCACAGAGGTGAATGGCCAAGGGTCCCATGGCCATGCAGCCCCAAGGCACAGCACACAGCTGCAGCCCTGAGGCCGCTGCTGCCACGGACTCACCGTTCTCAGACTGCCACCACGTCCGCCCAGCGCTGGGACCGCTCAGGAAGATGACGTTCTCGATGCGGTGGCTCTGGGGCAGGGATGGGTCCCGCGAGTCGCAGGTGAAGCATTTCTCTGAGTCCTGCACCAGGAGCAGCACAGTTAGAAGGGTTCAGTGGCCTCGGCTGTGCCAAAGCCATGCTGGAGCCATGCAGGGCCTCACCTGGAGGTGGCTGATGATGCAGTACTCCTGCGGTCCCTGCATCCCACACGTGGAGGTGGCGCTCAGGCGAGGGGCTCTTCCCACCAGCAGGTTCCCGGTGGCTGGGTAGCAGCTCCCACGGGCACATCCATAGCTGGGGTCAGGCTCCTGCTGACCCCACGCCGGTGCTACCCCCACTGCAGAGAGCACAAGGACATGGGGTACCTCCTGTCTGGGCACCCTGATGCTACCCAGCACCCTCCCACCCCAGGCTGCCCCATGCAGGCCTGGCCCCGCATCCCAACCCACTGATGCAGCACAAAGCTCCGTGATCCGGAAAGGTGCTGGCAGCAGCGCTGGCGCCTCGTGACCAGGGGATGCTGTGTGGTGCTGGGGGCAGTCAGCAGCCGGGTCAGGCGCTCGCTAATCCCACCAGGGCTCAGATTCCCAATGGGATTTGTGGCCTCCAGGGCCAGGGAGCATTGCCACTGACTCCACTGCCCAGGCTGGGGTCCCTGCACCACCACACCGCGGTACATGGGGTGCTCAGCCATGCTTGGTGCTTACCCAGGAGGAGAACGAGTGCCAAGAGGTCCATGGGCAGCTGCAGGTTCTGCCTGGGGGAACACAGAGACACTATGGTGGTGTACAGGGTATGGCAATGGGGTATGGCAACTGCTGCCTGGCTTCTCCCAGCTCCAGCATGGAGGTGCACCCCAGGGACAGCACTGGGAAGTGGGATCAGGTGGGGAAGTTGGGTTCTCAAGTCCCCCAGTGTAGCGTGGTGTTATCACCCCCACGGCCGTGCCCCATCCCTCACACAGACCCCTGCACTCGGCCATTCTTGCACCCCCAGACCCCACATGGGCTGTGCCTTGCCCCATCCTGCCCTGCTCGGGGCGGATCCATCCCTCCCAGTGTCACTGTTACCCCTGGGGGGTCCCCAGGGCCAGCCTGGGATGGGCGCCAGGAGCACCGGAGCCGTAGGGGCAGCAGCATCCCCGCCGCTGGCCGGGCTCCCGCTATTGCCTTTAGGCTGGAGCCGCCTTTTGTGCTCCCTCCTCCGCCGGTGCCGCCCGCTCCCAGCCGCTGGATCAAAGCCTGGCTGCCCAAACGCATCTTTCCGGTCCGCATGCGGGAGCCAGCCCGGGGCTGGGGGTCGTGGTGCGGGGGTCCCTAAGCTCCATAAACACACACACACACCCCGGTACCTGTTGTCCTGCGGCGTCCGGCGAGGCCAAGGCCAGGGGCAAGGGCTGGGCGGGCAGGGACGAGCGGCGGCGGTGATGGGATGGCGCGGCCGGCGGGCCCCCCTTCCCCGTGTGCACGGTGATTCTTATTCAAATGGGCTGCCCGCTGAAAGGGACGGCGGTCTCCAGGCTACGGGAATGTCACTGCCGATTCCTTCTGCCTGGAGGCCCCCGCTGCCCGCCCGGACAGGCGTCGGCAGCCCCGGCACGCCCCGGGCACCACAGTGGGCCCCAATGCTGAACAATGGGGAGCCTCGTGTGCCAGGGGAGCCGACGGCGCCGCGTTCCCGGGGCTCCCGGCACAGCGCAGCAGGAACGTGCCTGCTGCGGCTCGCATGACGGGACGGGCACCGGGAACTGGCCCATGGAGCTGTGCCAGGGCCCGCGGCACCGTGTGCTCTGTCCCACCTGGGCACGGGCCATGGTGGAAACACCAGCGCAGGTTGGCTGCGGGGTGGAGCCACAACGGAGCTCGCCCGGGCACGGCGCTGCCAACTGGGAATGTCTGTCCCTACGGACCCACTCCCTCCCCATGGGCAAAGTCCGGCACCACCAGCCTCAGGACAGGCGGTGCCGGAGCACGAGGATCCAGCCTGTTCCTCCCATAGGACCCTACCTTGTGAACCGAGTGCTGGCACCCAGCCTCTGTCCTGAGGCACGGCACAGCCCATGGCACATGGGGCTCCCAACCGGCTCCTACCTGTGCCCATGGGGCCTGTGGTGCCAGGTAAGTGTGTGGTGGCCCGGTTGTGCTGTGCAGGTTGGAGGTGACCAGCTCAGCCCCGCTGGCTCCAGCCAAGCTCGCTGCTGTTCCTGGAGGAGGGCAGCCGGTGCCTGTCTCCTCCTCCGATGCTGTGCCAGGCGAGGGAGGGACCTGCCTGCACCGAGCCTCAGCCAAGGTGAGGCACAGGCCAGGTACGAGCCGGTGGCACGGCGGTGGCCTGTGCCCTGGCTGGCCAGGAGCCTGCACAGCATCCCTGCAGGGCTGCCATGCCCAGGCATGTGGAGCCTGCTCACCGCTGCCTCCATGGGTACCATGCCTCAAGCCAGGGCCCCACTTACCTCGCGCTGCTCAGTGCTCCATGGGATCCTTCAGACCAGGGAGCGTGGCCCTGCACCTCGGCTGGGCTGGACAGAGACTTTGCTGTCACGCAGGGATGGTGCCTTTTCTTAGCCGAGGCCGAAGGAAGGAAGAGGAGCTGTGTGTTCCCCATACCAAGGCCGTGCTCTGGCTGCCCACCAGCCAGCAAGGTCATGGGCAGGCAAAGCAGCAGCTCCCCTGGCTGCTGGCCATGGGGGTGCCAAAGCGGTGCCACCAGGGACACCCCAAAAGCACAGTGGGACAAGGGGAGCTGTGGGAGAGCCCAGGCAGCTCCCTATGGCTGCACTCTCTGCAGGCACTGGGAAACCCCAGGGAAGGGCAGGTCTGGGCCCAGCGAGGCTCCACCACCTCCCGGGCTGTGAGAGCTGGCAGGGGATGAGCTGATAAAGAGCCATTAGCACTGGACATCGTGTCTGTAGCACAGGGATCTTGGCCAAGCAACCCTTATCTGCTCTGAGGAGATCCGAAGTGGCCTGATAAAGGTGGCAGTAATAGGATATGCAGCCTTGAAAAGTGAGGCAAAAGCAGGAGGGAGGGATCCTCAGAGGGACCTGAGGGACAACTGAGGTGTCCTGGCCATGCCCAGGCACCTCCTGGCTCCCCTGCAGGCCACTTCCCATGCGGAGCTGCGATCCCAGGGATGAACTTGTGGGAGATGGCGTGCCTGAGGGCAGCTGCGCTGGTTGATGTGCCAGCGGCTCGGCTGCAGCCCCTGTCACCAGCATCCTTGTCACCAGCGCTTCAAAGCTGCTGAGCATCCCCCAGCCCCTGCTCCACAACCCTCAGCAGAGCTCCCGAGCTCCTGGGGCAGCGTCTCAGGCTCAGCCAGCGCCGCTTGGAACGACATCAGTGCTCCCAGCGGGCAGCCGGCGCTTCCCTGCACATCCTGCACTGCCTGCAGAGCCGCTTTAACCGCTTCCCTTCCCGAGCCCCGGCACCGGCGCCACCGTCCCAGCACTGTTAGTGCCGGGTCAGCGCACCGACGGCTCACACCGGATCCGGATCACCACGGGGGAACAATGGCTCCTCTGTTGAATTCGCCAGTCCCAGCATCCCGGCTGGAGAACAGGATCCAGAGCGAAGTCAGTGGGTGGGCAGGAACTAACCTGGAATGCGGATTTATGCCAGTTTAAACCAGTTCAGCACTAGGAGCACTTCCCATCCCGAGCCAGGCATTCCTTAGCGGGGCTTGGGTACCCCAAACCTCTCGGGGGGGGGGGGGGGGGGGGGAGCTGGGGAGAAGAGGCAGTGGTGGTCTGCAGCTGAGCACACCCCACATGGGAGATGCCATTCCACGGAGCTCCCGGGAGCCCAGAGAAAAGCTGGACACGCTGGGTGGTTGTGAGCACCATTTTACTGAGGGGCTGGCCACCTGCTGGGACTTCAGAACAAAAAGTTCACTTCATTTAAGAGAAAAGAAAAAGACAGTCTGTTTCTTGTCCCATTCCCTCCAAAGAGTGGAATAATACTGTCTTCTCACTAAACAATGCCATTCCAAACTATACAACACGGAGCATGGAGCAGCCCCGCCTCAGACTCAACATTAAATAGTACTATAGCTTCGGCAACATTCTACACCAACAAATGAGAACAGGGAAAAGTTCACTCGAGAACAAGATGGTCACTTGTTGGAGATCCACCACGTAACAGTCTGCTCCTCGCCCTCCCACAGGCTGCAGGTGCTGCTCCATGGGTGTCACCCAGGATCCCGGAATGCCAGAGGATGCCTCAAGCGTGCCGGCGGCACCGGTCCCGGCCTGAGCAGGTCGTGAAGGAGGCTCTCTTACAGATGAAGGTTGGTAGAAATGAGGGTGAGGGATCTGGCAGTGCCCATCCAGAGTGGCTGCTGTGGCTCTGCTTGGGAAGTGCTGCTCCTTGGGAATGCTGCACCGGGAACCAGGAGGAGGCAACGGCATCACACGCTGCGAGTCCCCACCACAACACCAATGCTCATCCCATCCCATCCCATCCCGGGGAGGATGGTGGAGCAGGGGAGGTATTTTGCAGCACCTTCTCTTCACAACAGCACCACGTGCCTGCGCAGGTGTGTGGCAATCACCGGACTCTCACAGGGAGGGAAAGGGTGAATTAAGACAAGGAGAGCCCCAGCTGATAATAAGGCCTTTAAGGGACTCCCCAGGGCAAGGTTTAATCGTCCCCCCCCAGGGGAAGGTGTTTGGGATGCTCACCAGAGAAGTGCTACCCCCATGAGGGTGTCCCAGGGGTACAGGACTGCATCTCTCACCTTCCCCACGGCCACGCCAGTAGGGCCAGTCTATGTGACTGATGAAGGATAGAAGCCAAGGGTTGGCAGGGGGCACCTGCCTCAAAAGGGCACCCCCAGAGCCTGTGTAGTGCTGCCAGGCAGGGCAGGACAGGCTCCTGCAGCAGGTGGAATGGAGGCAGGGCTATGGCACACTGCAGACCTGGCTCCTGTTTGCACGTCTCCTGCTGCGGCAGAAGCAGAAGCTGCTGGTGTCTTTGGTTTTCCTGGATCCCAGCTTCTCGCTTTGCCACATCTCCCTGGTGTTCCTAAGCGAAGAGAGGGGTCTGGCCTTAGCACCACGGCTTTGGAGGCAGCAGCTGGCCGAGCTGCCAGTGTCACACATCCAGACACCCCTTCACTCAACACCCCACTCATCACCCCTTCACTCAGCACCCTGCCCTAGTGGTGGCTGTCCTAGCTTCTGGGGGCAGATCCCTGCTCCGCCAGCCGGCGAGGCCCCTGGCACCTTCCCAACAGCAGGAATGGGCTGCAAGAAGAGGGAAACATGATCTTGCTGCTCTCTCTGAGCCCTGAACACCAGGGCCTGGGAGCAGCCTGCCCTGCTGCCCTCTCCAGGGGTGGTGCCAGCCTATCCAGTGCCCACAGCCAAGCGCTGCACCACTGTCAGGAAGGTGTGAGGTGCCCCAGAAGAGCTGAGGCCACCTCAGCTCATGGCAGACTGTCCCCATCTGACCATGGCAGCAAACGGGACAGAGCTGCTTTGAGGAGTGAAGCAGGAACTGTGGATTTCACACCAACCTGCCTGAGCAGGAACTGCTCCACATAGCCCAGCACCACCCTATCAACCATGCTTAAAACAAGGACCCTCCCATCCTCAGCTCCTGGGAAGCTGAGACGCAAACCTGGTCTGCATCCCCACACATCCCTTGTGCTATAGCCAAAGGCCCAGCTCCCACATAGTGCAGGGAACTTGGACCCAAAGTGACAGAACAACTGGAGTGGCTGCACCTCCACCATGCTGGCAAGGTCTGGCCACGAACACAGCATAAGTCAACTGGAAGGGCCCAAGTTCTGTCCACAAGCCCAAAACCCAAAGCCCTCCAGACACAACAGGAGCTGAGAGTCTTCCACCAGCTCCACTGGTGGAGAAGAGCTGCTGGTGTATGAGGGGAGCACAACTCCTCCCCCTCTCACTGGAACACCACTATTGGGCTACAAACCAGGAATAACAAAATAATCTCTTCTTATTTTGCAGAAAAGTGTTTAAGGAATTCTGTACAAGCTGGCTCTGGAGGTGGGGGGAACCAACCAGTCTGGAAGCAGCAGCAGCACCACACTGGCTGGCTCGCAGGGAAGAGGCCAAGGAGAAACTTCTCCAAGTCCAAGCGGTGGCAGATGGTGAAACATGATCAGAGTGGACATGAGCTTCAGAACGTTGCTACCAATTAACAATGTGATTTCAAGTGGTATCCGATGTCAGCTTCCCCTCCAGTACCTGCGGGGCGAGCTGCTCTCCCCACGGACATCTGAGGCACGCAGGAAGCTTCAGGACCTTGTCTGGTCGAGGCAAAGCACAAATTCGTGGTTCTTGGCAGCTGAATAAAAGGAAAAACGATTCCCAAAACCATCAGTTGGATGAGCAGCCCTTTGACCGCTGGCTGAAGCGCTTCTGGAAATGACGGTGGCACAAATCCATGCAGTGAGAGCATTCCTAAGAGAGCCTCCAAAGCTCTCTCGGCTGTCACGGTGCCCAGGAACAGCACAGGCCAGGTTAGGCACTTGGATGAATTCAAAGTGACTAATACAGAAACAGGTCTGAACAATCTGCACGCAGCAGAGACCACAGCACCCCAGGCAACGTGTTTCTGTGTGTCCTGCCCTGCTGCACAGGGTCCTGGAAGGCAAGTCTGCTGTCACAGGGTAACATGGGGTGGAAGGGATTGCTCTGGCTAGACCAGTCTTAAGCAGCCTCTTGCACATCGGTGTTGAAGGTCCAGGACTCCAGGAGCACCCAGACCACGCCATGAAATGAAGGACCCTGGAGCCAACCACTGACAGGCTGCAGGCACACATCTGCCCGCACTGGACAGGCAGCAGTTGATGTCATTGGTGCCAGGGGCTGTAATGCCCCTCTGAATAACAAGCTTCAATCAGAGAATCACAGACTGGTTTGGGTTGGGAGGAACTTAAAGCTCATCCAGTCCCAACCCCTGCCATGGGACACCTTCCATTAGAAGAATCTAGAATCTAGACTGGAATCCTTCCAGCCAAGTTCCCAAATTACCTGCAAGGGGAAAGAGGAGGCATGAGGAGGATAGAGCATCGAGCTCTAGTGCTGCCCAGTAGCACAGGGCCCTGCAGCCTGTTAAAAGATATGCAGAAGGGCTGACAGAGACTGGACTGGTGATGGGCAAGTCCTGGAGCACTGCATGGTCTGCTCGCTTCCCTTACAGCAGCCTCAGTGGCACAGAAGTGTTTCTAATACTCATCTCTCCCTGTGGAGCAGAACACCTCTTGCTGCTGGCCTGGGAAGGACATTACCACCAAGCGTTTGCAGAACTGAGCTCAGTGCTGGGAAAGGCATGGCAGCACTAAGGCAAGATGTTCTGTTGGATGTGTTAAGCAACAGCACAAGCCAAGTCCCTGCCTGGCAAAAGCCCAAGCTGTGAAAGGCAAGAGGTGATGGAGGAGAGTGGGGAGGCAGGCAGCAGTGCAGCTAAGGGAAGAGACACCACGAAGAGGAGGGATATGGCCTCATGTGCTCAGCTTCCGGCTCAGGCTGGAGGAAAAGCTCAACCCGAATCAGCCTAGTTGATGCAGGATTGTTTTCCCACCAGAGGCCGGGCTGGGATGTCTGTGCTGCATGAAGAGGCTCCAGAGGCAGCTCTCGGTGTCCTTATAAGGGGCTGGGAAGAGGGAAGCTGCTGAGCAGCCTGTGAGGCAGCGATACCACAGGCAGGAGCTCAGAGCACTCCTCAGGAACAGCCAAAAAGAGAAACCGCAGTGCAAGACTTCCAGACCTGGCGTTTGGGAGCGTGGGAATAAGAAAGGTCTGAAGGAGTGGGAGCAAAAGGGACAAAGCAATTTTTGGCTGGTTAACAGTGACAGAAGGTCCCTGTTCATCCAGCACCACGTCAGGACACGGAACTCTCTGCCAGGGCGTTTCAAACCACAGAAGTAAATATTTTCTCCTTGTCCGCAGCCAACCAGCGGCATTCACAGGTCAGTCCCAACCACTGCAAGTGATGAGCTCTGACAGCAACACAGCACAACCACACAGAGCCCGAGCATGGGATTCAGGGCCTGAAATCAGACCCCGAGGGAGAACCTCCACCCTGGTGTACCTGGGGGAGGAGGGAGAACCCTGGCTCTGCCTTGGGACACTCATCCACCTCCTCTCTCCTCTCTGTGCCAAGGTTTTCCTCTCTGAGCTGGGGATCAGACACTGACCCCTTTTACAAAGCACTGAAATGCAGCCAGGTGCTAGGGAGAGGTTGGAACGTGAGGAGCTGAGGCTTCCCAGGGGAGCTCATCCCTTCAGCCAATGTCCACAGAGATTACTGGATCAGATAACTGGTATTTGGAGCTGGTGAGTGGATTACTGGCCCCGTGCTGCAGAGCCTGGCCTGATGCTGCCTCCTCTCTCCGAGCCACCAGGTTCTGCTTCAGCAACCTCCCAACACAGATCATCTCACTAGAGACAGTCCCTCCCAGGTGACAGTGACAGCACCTACTGCTCCAATGTGATGTTCCTCCTAGAGCTCGCAAATCCCTCCCTGCGGAGAGCAGACCCAACCTCTGCCAGCGCACAGCCTGTGTTCACATGATACAGCATCCGACGGCACCCCACAGCATCCGACTGCATCCCATAGCATGCCCCTGGCGCAGGAGGTTCCACAGTTCCTCCTGGGGATGCGCAGAGTCCGTGCTCCGGGAGCTTTCACACCTGGCACACACCTTCTCACAACATCCCAGATGGCACAGCAAAGCTGCCACCCGTCACAACACGGTGCTGATCTCCCCTCCTACTGCTTCACCCCCACAAACCGACAGAGAGAAACAATCTGTTTAAGTGCTGGCATCAATTCTGTCAAATCTTTTGCTTTTCTGCTTTGATTCAGGCTCAAGCATCCCACTGAGCCCTGGGAACAGCAGGATGTAGCAAATACATTCAAACGCAGCCTGTGCCTTCCCTACCTAGAACCTGCTCCTGAAACATCCAGCAACAGCAATGCAGTCACAAGGTGAGCAGGACACTACACAATTCCTGCTCACAGCTCCAGTCCTTCAGCTCTGACAGTTACAGTTCATGTTCTATGGCTGCACTCAGGCTGCAGGAGAGCAGAACAACACTGGTGCTGAGGAGGAATCGCTCTTTGGAGGCAAACCCCTACCATGAGTTCAGAGCTTCTGCTACGAACAAACACAAGAGGCACCTAGAGAACTGCAGGCAACAGCCCCATAACACTCCCCCCCTATGCAGAGGTAATACCAAAACCGTAATTAAAACTATAGTCAATGATGAGCTGGTAATTCTCCAAATTGCTTGGCATTTCTGGAGGCAAACAAGTGGCTACAGCTCTGCCTGCCTCTGAGCTGCTCAGCAGAGCCCAGAACAAGCTGTCACAACACTGGATCAACAGAGAAATCCTGGCACCTTCCAACAAAACACTGGCTGAAGGGGAACAAAAGCTATCAAACCCAATCCCAGAGGGATGGAGGGAGTGCATCTTCCCACAGCTCCAGGGCCATGTGCACACATATGGATATATAGATATATAGATAATAAAGTTATAAAATTTGACCAAAATAAACCCAGTAAATGTACAGCTTGAAAAAAGAGCAATATCACAGTGCATCAATGTCATGAGAAAGTCCCGTGTCCTCCCCCTGCACGAGAGCTCAGCCTGCCATGTCCTGAGGTGGGAAGCGAGCCCTCGGACCTGCTGGGCTTGTGTCACCATCCCCAACGGGTCCTTGTGCTTCTGCAGTCAGCTCTGCAGAGCAGATGAGGCAGGAGCAGCACGGGAACAGGCTGATCTGTCTGCAGGTCAGTTAACAGGTCACCCCCAGGCACGAGAGCTCCAGTCTCCAACCTCTCCATACTCTGATGCTGGGCTCGTATTTACTTACTTACAAAAGGAGAAAGTGACAAAGACCCTCAGGGGACGCTGTGAGCGTGAGACAAGGGCTGAATTCGGATCACAGGGGACAGGTTGACCCTAAGAATCTTCTGTGCTCTCCTCCTCATTTCCTCGTCAGAGGAAGAGTTGCCCACCTTGATGGCCCGGAATTTCAGCAGGTTCAAAGTGCTCTGAGCTCGGCGAGGTTTGTTTCGGGCAGAAATGGTATTTGCTTTTTTCTTCTGTGGTGCTTCCCTCGCCTCTGTGGCTCTTCTCTTCTTCTGCCCAGTGCCTTCCCGGTAGGTGCTGTTGTCCTTCCATTCTGTTTTCCCCACGAGAGCTTCCTTATCTTTGATTTTCAAGGTCTTGGCCTGCGGTGTTGCAGTGCAGCCCTGGGACGAGCTGCCTGTGACTCTCCCGTTGAGGACTCCCGAGGCTTTGCAAGCGTTGCTCTCCTGCAGCACTCCACCCTTTGGTCCCTTCAGGAGATTTAAAGCCAGGGTGGCAGAATCTGGTGCTTTCTTTACCAAGCGCTTGTAGCCCTTACCCTTGGTTAGTTTGGCTGCTTTGCCTGAAGGAAACTTCCCTGGGGCACTCGAAGCCTTGAGGAGTTTAAGATCCGAGGGTGAGATCCCAAGACGCCCTCGGGTGTACTTGGACTCCAAACAGGACGCAGTGGCTTTCAGCGGCACCAGAGCTTCCAGAACCACCGACAGTCTCATGGCTGGATACACATCAGGATACATGTTTGTAGGGAAGCCCACTGCTGCAGCCTTGGATGTGCTGGATTTTGTCTGCTTCAAGGAGCTCAAGAGGAGATTTGTGGAATCCCCTTTCGGGACAGGTTGAGTGGAGACTTTCAGAGAGTTCACTGGCACGCTGGTGGGCTCAGCAGGCACCTTTGCCATGGCCGTGGTGTTTCTGGTTGGACTCTTAGTAGTGCTGGCACAGTGCTGGGGACTGCTCTCTTTTGTCTGAGTCGGTGTGTCCGCTGTGCACGAGCTGTACCCGTACACATCCTTACTCCTCAGAATGGTGGGCTGGTAGCCCTCCTCCTTCAGGCTCTGAATGAAGGCCACCAGCTGGGTTTCTGTGTTCGAGAGGTCCTTGGACATGGGGTTGAAGACTCGAAGGGCTTCCTCCAGCACTTTCTGTCCTGCAGAGGAAATTCTTGACCAGGAATGGACGGCTTTTTCTTCCACATTGTTCACTGCAATATTCATGGCATTAGGCAACCGGGAGCTTTGGAAAGGTCTAAATTACTGGGAAAACAACTCTTGAGACCTCAAAAGGAGAGAGAAGATAGTTAGCTCACAACAACTGAAATCAGCTCGTGGTTTTAAGCAGGGACCTGAAACTGTTAAGCTAGGTATGGCTACTCACAGACATCAGGTCAGATTCTAGGCATCACCCACATTAGAAGCATCATCAAGAAAATCCTGTCACTGATTTGCCTCTGGAGGAAACCCAAATCATCCTGAATATATCCTCAACCCTAAACCAGGATCTCAGGCAATCCCATCCAACCCAGCCCAGGATAAAGGGTTCCAATGGTTAATGCAGTAATCTCTGCAGCTTGCTCCCACTTTGAGCTTGACACACCCCAGCTCTGAGTAACTAGATATCATTTTCCTTTGGTAAAGCAGCCCTGAGAACTGAACCCTCACTGAGAACACCACGATGGAGCCATCCCAATGCTAACAAGCCTGAGCACCTCAAATCTATCCTGGCATCGCATTCAGTTTTCCAGCTTCCTAATAGATTCTGCTCACAAATTGATTCTGAGTCCCTGCCAAAGCTGCAGCATCCTCCTGGAGACCTGACAGGAGGGCTGGAGGCTCTTTTAGCTGAGCTTTGTCGATGCCAAAGGCTGTGGTGAGGCAACACCGCTCCTTGCTGCTCTCTTGTTTGAACAACGGTCTGCAACTCGCTGTCCCAGCAAACTGGTGTTGATCCAGGGGCACTCACTGCCAAGGGAGCAGGAAGCAGGAAACTCAAGCAGGGCCGTGAGAAGGAAACACACATCACCAGGGCCAAGTGTACAATGGCCTGAGGGAAAACACTGGGATCACGCTCAGGGCACTGCACAGCTGCCTGCCTGGGGAAAAAGAGCTGGTTATTGGTTCAAATATACAATAGGCACTGAAGAGGAGGCCAGAGAGGCACCCAGGAGGACTCTGATCCTCTCACAAAAAGCTGGTGGCCTCACCAGCTCCACTGAAGTTATAAAACCTTCAGTTTCAAGGATACCTATGAAAATAACAAGGATTTGGTGAAAACCTCTTTTTAGGGAAACAGGGAAGGTGTCAGAGACACTATGAGAGAGGGCACTGTGCAGGCAACAAAGCTGTGATGGAAAAGTTAGTGCCTAAGCAGAGAAAGGAATGAATCATATCCAGTGCTCTTCACAGACCTCCGGGAATACCGGCCCCGGAGCGGCCGCCAGCGGCACAGGCAGGGAAGGGTCAGAAGCCAAAGGAGCAGCAGAAGGGGAAGCACAGGTCAGCAGTGGGTAAGAGCTTCCACATGACACGCTAATCCCAGTCAAGTGCTCTGTGGACGTCACAGGGATTTGGAGGAGGATAACGCAGGGAATCTCCCACGGCAGAGGGCAGACAGGCAGGGAACCAACGGAGCCACGGCCGGTGTCACAGCCAAAGGTGAGATTTGCCACCTCCCCAGGGAACAGGCAAAGCCAGCAGGGTGTAAAGCTTAATCCTGATCTGGTAGAGAGGGAGAAGCACAAGGAACAACGGGCTGCAGAACGGATCTTCTTCAGGAGCAGCTGGGACACCGTAAGGGACACTCAGATGTTGGACACAGCGGCTGTGACACCCACGGGGACAGGACCCCTCAGCATCAATCCGCTTGGACGTGTTTTGTGCAGCCCAAGCTGCAGCTGGAGCGAAGCTGCCCACGGGCAGGCTCAGCCCCGATGTCCACCCAACACCGAGAGCCCTCACCTGAGCCACTACCGGAAGGACATGCCCTGGTGGAGCGCCATGTGGCCACTGCCCCACGGTGCCAGCGCGGGGTTAAGGCCCGGCTGTGCGGGCACGGAGCTCTAGGGACGGGCCCCGCGGTGACTCCCACGGTGCTCCGGGCTGGGGCAGCCTGGGGGCACGCGGGGAACCAGCCGCTCCCCATGACCCGCTCCCGGCGGAGGCGATGCTCGTTCCCGAGCGCCTGTCCCGCACACCCCATCCCCAGGCCCGGTCCGGACGAGCCGCCGGCAGCACCGAGGCAGGAGGAGCCGCGGCGGGGGTCGAGCCGCGCTGCTCCGTGCTGCGGGGACGTGCTTGGTGCACACAGCGGGTGCGGCCCGCGCCAGCTGCGGCCGGGGGGTGAGGTGAGGAGGGGAGGAGGAGGCGGGGGCCGGGGCGGGGCTCCGCGGCTCCGCCCCCCAGCTCCCGGGGCCGCCGGCTCGGCAGCGCCCCCGCCCGGGAGCACGGGGCCCGGGCACCGCCGGCCTCAACCTACCGGCCGCCGCCAGACCCGCCGCTGCGCCGCGACCGCCGCTCCAACATGGCCGCCCGCGGAGCGCCGGAACCACCGCCCCCTTCCGCTTCCGCGCACCGGGGACACGCCCCCTCAGTGTCCATGGTAACGGCGGTCACGCGCCGGTGGCCGGCGGGGGTCCGTCCCCCCCTCCGCCCCGGGCCGGCAGGGGGCGCTGGCGGGAGGAAGAGGCGCGGGCGGAAGTGGCGCCGTTTCCAGGTAACGGCGGCGTGGCCGGTACCGGTACCGGTGCCGGTGCCGGGGAGATGAGCAGCGGATCTGGCCGGCGGCTGGTGCTTCACGTGGATCTCAACAACACGGTGGTGGTGGCGGACACGGTGTCGGGGCAGGGCCCGCGGTCGGCCCTCAACAGCTTCCTCAGCACCGTCACCTGGGGCCGCGCCGGCGCCGGCGGTGAGCACCGCGGAACCGGGGCTTGTGAGAACCGGGGATCGAGAAGCGGCTGAGCCCCCCCCTTCTCTTGCAGGCGAGTGGCAGTGGGTAAGTGACCGCCCGTCCCTTCGCCCGCCGTGCCCCGGTGCCCTCAGCTACTACAGCCGCCACGGCCGGGACCCCGCGTTCACGGAGAGGGGCTCGGGCCGGCGCTTCCGCAGCCTCCACGCCCGCCACCTGCAGCTGCTGGAGTGGCCGGGCCGGCCGCACGAGGTGCTCTCGGTGCAGGGGGACCCCAGCAAGCGCTACCACCTCCTGCTCCCCGCCCTCCTCCGCCTGCTGGATGCCCTGCACCGGGACGGGCGGGCCTTCGCTGTCATCTTCAGGACGTTCGGCACTGACCTGCCCCGCGCCCTCCGCGCTGTCAGCTGTGCCCTGGAGGGGCAGCACCCCCAGTTCCCTGCGCTGCGGGACGTGGCGGTGAGTGGTACCCCAGGGCTGGTGAGGGATCCCTGTGCTGGGATGCTCTGCTGACACTTGGCTGGCTTTGCTGTTTAAAACACCAGGGAGGGGACGCAGCAGCTTCTTGAGATGGAGCTGTTAGCAGCAGGAAGCACGTGTGTGTATGGATCCTGCTGAGAAAGGTCTCCTCTTGGGGTATCCCAAGTTGGATAGAGCATCCCTTCTCTTGGAGAGGTAGGCTGCTGCAGTGGAGCTGATCACAGCCATGCTCTCCCCCTGGCAGCACACCAGCAGGAATGCTGGGAGCAAGCTTGGGAAGCTGCCTCAGTTGTTCATTGGAGTATTCTTAGGGAATAGAGATTGAAACATGGGCAGTGTGCAGCAAGATCATTCCCTCCCATCCCAAGGGAGACAAGTTTTGGTTGGGGGGTTCCACACTTCCTGTTGTTTTGTCCCCAGCAGCATCCTCCCATGCTGTGCTGGTGGAGAGCCTCCAATGCACCAACCAACCTGTCTGCTTTGGCAACCTTTCCTCTCCCACTCTCTGTGGTCCTGCAGCTCCCTGTGGACCTCACCCCTGGGCAGATACGCTGCAGCAAGTGGGAGGTGGTGCTGACAAGGGGAACAGAGCGCCTGACTACCCGGGAGGATGCAAGAAAGCTTTACAACTACTTCAGCTCCTTTGAGGGAATTGGCGGCTTCCAAGACCACTTTGACTGGTGAGAAACAGGGCACTAAGGTTTCTTCTCTCCTGTGATTCTCGGGGCTTCTCCTGCTCTGGGATAGCTCTGAGTTTTGAGGTCTTTACACCTTGTGGGCCCTATCACTTGTATGCTCCCTGCTTTGCCTGTTGGCAGCCTGATGGGGCTCTCATAATCTTGCCTCAGGCCTCAGTTTACCTCCTGCTTTTCTCCAAACACACCCTGATTTGTCACCTCACTGCAAAATGTCCCTTTCCCAGGAAGCAGGAGCAGGCAGAGGGACAGGATGGTCTCTATTGTTGTACCTGACCTGCCTTTACCAGGTTCCCCTCTCCCTCCCTGACTGCTCCTTGTCCTGCTCGCTGTTTCAGGTGGGCCAAAAATCAGTTCTCCTCCCAGGGTGGGAAACCCCTATGGATTGACCCCCATGATCCCAGCGTTCACCACATCTTCATCGATGACAACATCCGGCTGGACGATGCCGACACCATTGTTAATCCCCAGGTAGGGCTGAAGGTCCCTCCAGTGCCTCCTGCCTGCGCTGAGGGGTGTCCCGGTGAGCCTGAACCCCTGTTTCCATCCAGAAGGTGACAGTGCTGGTGGGGAATGGAAGGGGGAATGCTCAGCAGCATTTGCCAGGCAGCAGGGAGAGGTGAGGAATGGGATGCTCATCAGATATTCTGGAGAGTCAGCCTTGTTCAGCCTGGAGAAGAGAAGGCTCCTTAAGGGGAGACCTTAGAGCAGCTCCAACTGCCTAAAGGGGCTACAAGAAACCTGGAGAGGGGCTTTGGACAAGGGCCTGTAGGGACAGACCAAGGGGAATGGCTTTAACCTGACAGAGGGGAGATTTAGATGAGCTCTTAGGCAGAAGCTCTTCCCAGTGAGGGTGCTGAGGCGCTGGCACAGGGTGCCCAGAGAAGCTGTGGCTGCCCCATCCCTGGCAGTGTTCAAGGCCAGGTTGGACACAGGGGCTTGAAGCAAGCTGCTCTAGTGGAAAGTGTTCCTGCCCGTGGCAGAGGGTTGGAACTGGATGAGCTTTAAGGTCTCTTCCAACACAGACCAGTCTGTCATTCTGTGATTCCACAAAAGCTCTCCCAGCTCATGGATCTGTAGCTGGTGGCAGGAGCTGTCACTGCCTGGGGCAGCCCTGTTGGGAACAGGCTTTGGTCTGTGCTGTACCTGTTTCCAGAGAATTACTGCGGGTGGCTCTGCTGCAAGTCTGAGGCCCCTGTACACAGCAGCATGTCTGCAATGGCTGAGCATAGCTCACACAGCTCCACTTGCAGCATTCCAGCCTCAGGCTGATTCCCTGATCAAGGAGTTCCTGCTTTCACCATCTGCAGCTAGCACAGCAGGTCAGTGAGGCTGCTCAGCTTGTCTCAGAGCAGCCATGCAGCCATCACAGGGCTCCCCTCGCACCAGATCAGACAGGTAGGATGAAGCTGCGGTGGCAGCAGACCTTGCTGGGTCTGGGTGACACCCAAGGCCTTTGCAGCCAGGATTGGCAGGTTGGACACCAGCTTCCCCTTATCACCAGCTCTTCAGGGCTGTCCCTGTGTCAGTGACGGTGACAGAGCAACACTGGGAGGAAATAGATTGTCAGGTGGCCTTAGGGAGAGCCATGGTAAAGATCAGAAGGTGAATTCCAGTGCAAGAGATCAAAGAAAGAGCTGTGGGTAGAGCTTCTCCTGGGGTCGGCTGCTCCACAAGAGCTGTTTTCTTCCAGCTGCGTGGTGTGGTCTGTTCCATAGGGAAGCACAGCCCTGGCACTGCTGCCCATGGAGGGTGCAGGTGCCTCTGTGAGCTGCTGTCTCCCATTGCAGGTGTTCTCGGAGCAGGGCAGCCACAGCCCCCGGCGTGTTCCCACCTCAGAGCTGTACGACGTTTGCCTGGTGCAGACCGACCTGCTGCAGGCCATTGCTGACCAGGACTATTTCCTGCGCTGCGTGAGGAGGTGCGAGGAGAACTACGACCGTTACCTGGCCTGCAGGGAGGAGGACACCCAGAGCCAGCAGTGGGATGGACGGTGATGCCTCCTCAAAGGGGCGAGGGGCTCTGGACTTGGAACACCACCTGCTTCCTGCTGGGCATAGGCAAAGTGCGGAGCTGGGCTCTTCGAGCTCTCCCCATTCCCGTGTGTGATGTACCCGCATCTTCCTACCAGAAGCCTCCATGCCTGAGCACGAGCATCCTGGGAGCTTGTGTGATGGGATCCCTGGAGGAAACGCCTCTCCTTTCCTTGGCAGGGCCATCCCACCATGGGTGCAACACAGACATCCATGCAGCATTCACACCTCTATTTCCACTGCTGCGCCTGTGCCTGGTGCGGGGTGGTGTTGCCATCAGCACACCCGAGTGCTGTGGTGTCCTCCCCAGCAGAGCCATCCAGGCCCTGTCCCTTCTGCTTGTTTTTAAAGCAAACCTTTTTAGCTCGTTACTGGTGTGAGTTTCCTGCCTGGCCTCAGCTGTGCCTGTGCTTGTGGGTGGGAAGTGCCTTTCCTGGTGTCTTCATTCACGGGGCTCAGTCGAGTAGAGACAAAAGTGACCATAGAGGGTTTGGGCCCTTCCTGATGCCACGGAGACCCCAGTAAGGACGTGCTCAGAGTGGGACCAAGCTCATGCTCCATCCCTGGAGGTGGTGGCAGGCAGAGGATCCTCTTCAGGAGGGGACGGCGACTCCGTGAGCCCGGTGCTGGGGTGGCCCCGGCCGGCACCGCGGGGTGTCTGCGGCTCCTCAGGCGCACGGCAGAGCGGCAGCACCCCGGGAGGGTCGGGAGGCGGCGGGGGGGGCCGGGGCGGGCGCGGCACCGCCTCCACCGGCAGCGGGCGGGAGCGGAGCGGGCGGCGGCGCGGAGCGGCTCGGAGCGGAGCGGCGGGGAGAGCAGCGGAGCGGGCAGGAGGTGAGAGTGGCCGCGGTCCCTGACCCGCTCCCGGCGGCGGGCACGGGGGTGCGACGGGAGCCGCGGACAGCAGCCGTCCGGTGGGTGCGGGATGCGCAGCGGGAGCGGGAGGGTCGGGGGATCCGGGCTGTGCAGCGGGAGCCCCGCGGAGCCGGAGCACTGGGGGATAAGGGCCATGCACAGGGAGCCCCGGGGAGCAGGAGCTCCGGTGGGTGCAGGCTGTGCACCGGGAACCCCGGGGAGATGGAGACCGCGGTGCAGGAGCCTCGGGGAGCAGGAGCCCCGGTGGGTGCAGGCTGTGCACTGGAGCACTGTGCACTGGGGAGATGGAGATCGGGATTCAGGAACCTGAGAGAGCAGGGGCTCAGGGAATGGGAGCCCTGGTTAGTGCAGGCAGGGAGCCTCGGGGAGCTGTGAGGCGCGGGAGCCTCGGTGGTTGCAGGGAGGGAACCTCGAGAAGCAGGAGACTCGGTGGGTGCAGGCAGGCATCTCAGGGGAGACGTGGTGGGTGCAGGTAGGGAGCTCTAGGGAGCAGGAGCCAAAAGGGGACAGGCAGGGAGCCCCAGGGTGCAGGAGCCCAGAGGTGACAAGCAAGGAGCCCCAAGAAGCATGGATCTGTCACATCACCGGTGGAGCTGTCTCACCGGGGCTGGGGGGATCCGTGGGTGCCTGTGTGCTGACTTGGGTGCTCTCCCCACAGGAGCAGGGTGGGCAGACCCGGGCCAGGGCTAAGCCGGGCCGGATGGGCGGCACGGCAAGGCCAGGGCCTGGGGACCCCCGGTGCGGCTGATCCGGCCCATGGCGGCGGGCGCAGGCGCCTTTGCGTGGGCCACGTTCCCCTCCATGCCCACCCGGCGCGTGTACTGCAGCGCAGCGCACCGCGACGGGCAGCTCTTCGTGCTGGGCGGCTGCGGCGGCAGTGGCAGGGCCCTGGGCACTGCTGAGCTGCTTGACCTGACCGCACAGCGCTGGACCACGCTCCCACCACTGCCCACGCCAAGGGCTGGTGCTGCTGCCCTCGCCCTGGGCAAGCAGATCCTGGTGGTGGGTGGTGTGGATGCGGCGCAGAGCCCCCTCGCCTCCGTTGAGGGCTACCACGTGGATGAGGGCAAGTGGGAGAAGAAGGCGGCGCTGGCGCAGCCCTCCATGGGCATCTCAGCTGTGCAGAGAGGTGAGGGATGGGGCTCGGATACAGCTGTCTGGAGAGGTGGGGATGCAGGCGTCAGGGATGCTCGGGTACGATTTGGATCCTGCTGCTGCTTGGGGTGCACTACAAGGCTTTCACCCAGCAATAAACTTGCCACTTAATGGCAGGGTTATGCTCCTGCCTCGGCTGCCCTGGTGCAGGAGGTGATGTGGAGCATCTCCAGCCATAGGAGCCTGCCCCAGCTGCACTGGCTGGGGAGCAGGCCAAGCACCCTGCTTCAGCCTGGCTCAGTGTTCTGTGCATTGCACACACTGTGAATCCTGCCTAAACTTTGCTGAGCACAGCCTGGGAGCCGGGGTTGGTGTTCATATGCAGTGCTCATGTCTGCTCCCTGGCTGGGGATGCTGTGAGCAGGGTGGGCAGGGCAGAGGGGACGGCGGGGCAGCAGTGGGCTGTGGAGCAGGATTTGGCAGCATGGCTGTGTTGCCATGGTGTCTCCAGGGAGATGGTACTGCCGAGAATAATTAGAGCCGATGGCCTTGTGCTCTGCTCTTCTCTGATGGATGGGGCACAAAGAGGAGCAGGAGGGTCCCAGTGGGATCAGGGCATTGCTGGGGTCAGGTCTGACTGCACTCACTGTTTCCTGGCCACCCCAAAGCAGCAGCCAGCCATGGCGCACAGCAGCACCCATGCTGCCTGCACCGGAGGGCACAGGGGGGCACACAGCCCCATGGTGCTGCCTATAGCCCTGCACCCTCACTGTCACCTCTTTTGCAGATGGGACCATCTACGCCTTGGGGGGAATGGGGGCAGACACCTCTCCCCAGGCACTGGTCCGAGTCTATGAGCCGGCGAAGGACCACTGGCAGCCCCTGCCCTCCATGCCCACCCCTTGCTACGGGGCCTCCGCCTTCCTGCAGGGCAACAAGATCTTTGTTCTGGGTAGGTGTCCCCCGTGTCCCTCCACTGCCTCCCTGGAGCAGGGGGTGACCTGGTGCACCCCAGGGTGCCTCTGTGCTGCACTCCCATCCCTGCACTGCATCCAGTGGTCCCATCCTGCTCAATGGTGCCAGCTCGGGGCAGTGGCAGCAGCATCTGTGCGCAGGGGGCCGGCAGGGCAAGCTGCCTGTCACTGCCTTCGAGGCCTTCGACCTGGAGACGAGGAGCTGGACGCGGTACCCCAGTGTGCCGAGCCGCCGTGCCTTTGCTGCCTGCGCCATGGCCGATGGCGTCGTCTTCAGCCTGGGCGGGCTGCAGCAGCCGGGGCCACACAACTTCTATTCCCGTCCACACTTTGTCAACACCGTGGAAGTGTTTGATCCTGCGCAGGGTGAGCTGGGTGGGGGAATCCCTGTGGTTCTGGGTGCCTCCATGCGTCTTGGTGAGGGGTGTCCATGCCCAAGGGATGTGGTTCATTGGGGATTTGAGCATCAGCCTCTGCATCCATAAAGAGTTGTACCCTGTGCTCCCTGATCCAGGGGTGTCCTGGCGTCGGTGTGCAGAGAGGAGCCCCAGTGGGTGATGCTCACACCCTCTCGCCCTCAGGTGCATGGAGCAAGCCGAGCCGTGGTATCCGCATGAGGGAGAAGAGAGCCGACTTCGTGGCTGGCTGCCTGGGAGGAAGAGTGGTGGCTGTGGGTGGCCTCGGTAATGCCAGGCACAGGCGCGTGGCCATGTTCCCATCCCTGCCCTTTGTGGCACATCGGTTACCTTCATGGGCAGGTTGGCTGTGCATACCATGGGGGTATTGCAACACCCTCTGCATCATGTCCCTCCTGTGCCCCCCAGTGCTGGGTGCTGCTACACAGTCTGCCTGCACTGAGCTGATGGCCCTGCTCGTGTGCAGCTTACCATGCTCACGCAGCTCATACCAGCTCAGCCCCACTGCACAGGGCTGCAGCACTGCATCCCTCTCCTGAGAGCTGGGGAAAGGTTAGTGCTGTCAGTCAGCAGCAGGGTGCAGCAAGAGGGAGCCTGGTGCCAGCCACAGCATCCCCACTGAGCGCTGCCAGACCCATCCAGAGCCGGACCTCCTGCTGCAGGGGCAGGAGGAGGTGATGGGGAAGACAAGTGGTGCTGGCTGGATCCCTGCGGCATGGCATTGCTCTGAGCACTGCCATAGCAGGAGCTGCCCTCCCTTATCCCCCGGTGCAGAGCCAGCAGTACAGCATCGTTGCCAGCAGCAATCCTGTTGGAAATGCTGCTAATCCTCTTGTGCCCTTGCTAATTGCCTTTGGAATCACAGAGCCCACACAGCCCAGGTCTCAGGGGCTCTGCCTGAGGCATCAAGAGGCATGTGAAGGACGAAAGGCAGAGCCAGAGGTGCAGGTTATGACTGTGGGGCGCTGATGCCATTCTGTGTTCCGCAGGGAACCAGTCCTGCCCGCTGGACTCGGTGGAAGGGTTCAGCCCCTCGCAGAAGAAGTGGGAGCCACTGCCACCCATGCCCACGGGCCGCTGCTCCTGCTCCAGCTGCCCGGCGCCCAGCCTGCTCTTCGTCATCGGTGGGGTGGCTCAGGGCCCCAGTGGGGCCGTCGAGGCTCTGTGCCTGCGCGAGGCACCCTGAGCTGGGCCCTGGGAACCAGCCCTGGCCGAGCACCAAGTGCCTGAAGATGGGGACAGGGTGTGTACCGGTGCGTGTGAGTGACCTGGCTCCGGAGTGTCATCGTCCCATGGCACCGGGCACCAGAGCAGCCGTGGTGTCTCTCTGTGCCATGGAATCACCTCTGGGCTCCTGCAGTGCTGTGGCAATGGAGCCTGGGGTTAACGCCTGCCTAGTGGGAGGGCTGTGGCTGGTGGCACAGAGGGAGCAGCAGTGGTAGGACGGTTGCTGGTCATGCTGCCCCCGTCCGTGCCGCGGCATGTCCTTGCCGTGTGTGTAGCAGTAAGTGCTGTGTCGTCATAGACCCAGTCGATGTCTCATGTAGCACAGAGGTGCCCTGTAGCTCAGTGCCTAGGAGGTGATGTAGCACCTCAAATAAATGAAACACGTGGAGTTTTACCCTGCTGGAGTCGTGTCGTCCTGGGTATCCTGCTGCAGGCAGGGATATGTTGCAGTCTGTCAGGGAAGCATCCTCCAAAGGGACCCTGTGCTGTGCGGCAGGGATGGCTCTTGCTCTTTTCCGCACTGCCAGGGTGAGTGGAGCAATGTGATGCAGGGATCCAGCCCTCCTTTTGGAAAGCAAGAGCTGAGCAATGTCTGTACTGCCTTGGTACAGCGTTGCTCCTGCTTGGCCTCTCCTGTGGGTGAAGGGGCTGCAGGGGGTGAAGGCAACAGCAGGAGAAAGGCTTTGTCAGAGGGAGCAAGGCTGCAAGAGAGAGCAGGGAATGGTGAGGGCTGCCAGGATGATGAGAAATAAGATGAGATGCTGAATGATGACAGGGTTCTTGAATCCCATCCAGCATCACAGCCCTGTCCCAAAGGAGACAGGGAGAGCTGATCCAGCTGTGTCCAGCTCGCCTGGAACGCTGCATCTCCTGCTTCCGGCATCAGGAAGGGAAAGTAAGCTCTGTACCAGTGGTGTCTGTGGTTGATATTTGGGCGTGCACAGTGAGGCCAATGGCGGGTGCCCCCCAGTTTGCAAGTGCTTTCCTGAACCTTGTTGGTTTTGGCTCCACGCAGAGAGGGATTCGATCTTTCACTGATAGAACATTAGAAAGATCTCACAGGTCTGAGTAAATACCAAGTGTGGATGCCTGACCTTTTGGAGAAGACATCTGGTGTGATCCTGAAGAGGCTAGCAGGGCCAGAGGGACGGGAGGCTGAATCCCAGTGTGGTGTGGCACATCCAGCACACTTGCCACAGAAAAATGGACTCAGAGATCAATGTGATCAGACCAAAGCCCTTTAGTACAAAGCATTTATCCTTTGTATACTGTTGTCTGCCTCTGCTTACAATGGCTTGCTGTATTTTAATTGGATACCTATTCTTGTAACACACAACAACTACGGCTACATATACAATAGCTTAGTATATTATGCTTGGATACGTATTCTTGCAGCACACAGCAACTAGTATACAATTCATCGAATAAGCATATAGGAACTTAACCTTTAAAACTTGCTAACAGTTCACTACTTTGTATCTTAGCACATTCATTTTTCTTCTTACCTTGCTTGCACTGTTACTTTTGCTTCTTTACCCACATCCTCCTTCATTCTTGGTTCATGTTGAACTCCACGTAGGCACTTGCTGACTTGGGAACGTGGCCATCCTTCTCTAAAAATCCATCCACACACACTGCTGGGGCAGGCTGTGACATGTGAGGGGAAAGTCAGAAAGGATTCAGAGAAGAGCATCCACAAGATGGTTTTGGTGTTGTTGCCCCATCATCTCTGCTGCCCACCCAAGGGCAGTAATCACCAGGTCAGTCCCAGTGTGTTGCATGGCCTTTTGCCAGCATTCTGGGAAGAACATCCTGGGATACCTGGACTGACAGTACCTCAGCTGAAGCCATCCTTGCATCCGCCTCTGGAGTTGCCATAGAAACCACCGCCGTGCCAGAGCCAGCATCAACAAGGAGCCCCGAATTAGTGATTGAGCCGTACTCAGCAGCAGGATGTGCCGGCAGACGGAGGTCAGTAGCTCACTCTGTGCCAGGGGCCGGACAGGGGGACCCCTCCTCTAAACATGATTTGTCTCCAGCCCTCGCCTATGAACACTGCAGCAGAACCCCATTTTCACAGTGTACCCTGACCTGTGCTCAGCCCTGCTCGGCTCTTCCTTCCTGGGGTCCTGGGAGGTGACAGACCCCTTGGTGCCACCTCGGTACCTCTCTCCTCAGCATGCCAGCCCTTTCCAGAAGCCACCGAGGCACATAACTTCAGTCCCACCAAAACTTTCATCATGGGGGATCCTGAATCACAGAGCTGTGTGGAAATGCTGACCTGATTAATAAGCTTTTCCCACAGGAGCATTGCACAGACGGGATAAATCAGACGCTGAGTCACCACCAAACTGACACCCCTGCATGCCAACTTCACTGCTTGCCCTGCTGCTCACCGGGTGCTCGGGGCTGCTTTATCCAAATCCAAGGCACTGATGGGTGTAAAGAGCTGGGAGATGCTGGAGGGGGTATCTGCGGCTTGAGAGCCTCTTGCCATTGGGTGTTTCCAGTTGATGGTCCCTACCCCGCAAGGGGTTTATCCCTTTCTCAGCAGCCTCTTGCCTCGTGCACATGATTGCCTGGCACATTGAGCCATGGCAGTGCTGTTTGGCTGAACAGAAATCCATGACTTCTCCTAAAAGTGGATTTCTCCTTCTTTTCTACTTCCACTTTTGGACACAGGACCAGGATCCCATCCAAATGAGGGGAAAAGAGCAACCAGGATCATGGCCAAGGACATCTTGGGATGGATGGAGCAATCTTCAGGCAAAGAAATGATGTTTCTGACCACCCTTGGACACTGACACGTTATTAACTGAATTGCTCCTGTGAATTTCTAATGAAATGCATTACAAAGAGAAAAAGAATTGAGGAGCACAGCCCATATATTGCTGCCTATCTCTTGGCAGCTTCTGCTAATTCTTCCTAAATGAAAGGCTTCAGGTATCTGGCCACACTCCCTAGCAGTAGCAGCACAGTCTGTTACTTCAGATATAAGGAGAGCCACGAGCCAGAGCCTGGCAACATGGCTAATCTCCCCGGAGCGTGTTATGGATGGGGGGACTGGCACTGGAGGTAGCTGTCAGACCTATAATTAAACCAATGTGTTTCCTCATAGGAATGTCTTTCCATTGTCAGCAGAACTACACAAACCTCATTTATCATACTCCACAAACCAGGAAGCTCCTGCCACACCAGAAATAGGAATAGCTCGGTGTAATAGCCTAAAATAAGGTGCTGAGCCTTATCGCTGGTGTGCAAAGCACCAGCAAATCCTTTTCTAAGGGCAGTGGAAGTACTGTAAACAGCCACAGGGCACTACGGTCTCTTCTGAAGGGAGTTCTGGGCCAACTTTCCAATTAGGAGCAATAAAATGGTGGCAAACAGCCATTTACGATGCAGTGCTCTATAGGTCCTGGGTGCACAGCAAGAGCCTTGGCAGCAGCACCGGCAGCAGTTCAGGAGCAGAACAAGGGTCTGTTTACTCAAGAAGCACAATAAACATCAATGTTCCCATCAGCACAGCTCCCTGGGGGCGCATTCGCCTTCCAGCCCACGGCTGCCTTGGACAACCTGGCCGTTATCCATTCCCTGAAGCAGAGACAAGATCCAGGCTGTGATTCCCTGCTCCGGTCTTAACAAACCAACCTGTTAGAGGTGCGTCGTGCAGCTGAGAGTTAACAAGCCGCTGGGATAAATCCCAGCTCTTTATAGCAGCCTTCGCGCTGCAGCGACAAGCAAAACCAATGCAGCCAAGTCACTCTGAGAAGTTTGTTATGGGTAAAGGTCCAGAATGATTTGATTTTTTTGGTGGTAAAAGCTTTATTCCTGCAGGATTTGACGGGGAAACCAGATACCTACATCAAGAAAGCCATTATTTTGTCACCTCTGAGCTCCAGGCTCCCTTTAATACTAAAGCCAAAGGAGCATAAAGGGGAATGTGAGTAGTCCTTCAATCTACCCATGAATTTATATCAACATTATTTCTATATACTCTACTTCATAAGGTGCTGTATTAGAACCAGCAACCAAGCATTTCATCTAGTTTTGGGATTGTTTTGAACTAAAGGATTAAAAAAGCAGGCAAGTAAACATGCCCGTTTTCCATTCCTGAAGATGTAGGATACAAGAGCACAAGGGAAAGATTCCATATTTGAGAAACTTTCTCCACAGAGTGTTTAGAGGATGGGTTATTTCTGTCATACTTCTAATGGATGAAATTAAATCATTCTGTCTCTCTAAGAGGTGCTTACATGAGAGACCACACAAGCCTCTGGATGTGAAGTAAATGAGCTCCATGGCCACCAGGCTGAAGTACCTAAAGGGGTTACAGGAAACCTGGAGAGGGGCTTTGGACAAGGGCCTGTAGGGACAGGCCAAGGGGAATGGCTTTAACCTGCCAGAGGGGAGACTGAGATGAGCTCTTAGGCAGAAGCTCTTCCCTGTGAGGGTGCTGAGGCGCTGGCACAGGATGCCCAGAGAAGCTGTGGCTGCCCCATCCCTGGCAGTGTTCAAGGCCAGGTTGGACACAGGGGCTCGGAGCAAGCTGCTCCAGTGGAAGGGGTCCCTGCCCGTGGCAGGGGTTGGAGCTGGAGGAGCTTTAAGGTCCCTCCCAACCCAAACCATTCCATGCTCCCATGGGAGCGTACCTCAGTGCATCAGGCTCCGCTCCTCCTCTTCCTCCCCTTGCCCAGCGATGTCCCCGTGAGCCTGGAGCACTGCTGCCAAGCAGAGGGAAGGGTCTGGCTGTGTGCCTGCCATGAGTGACCTGGGGAGAGATCAGAGCTGGGAATAAGCTGGATCCACAGCCCCGGGGTGAGATCCATGGACCCCAGCCTGGGATCTTCACCCTGGGCCCATGCAGAGGCACCAGGCCCAGCCCTGGGGCTGCCATGTCGGCTGGGCCTGCAGGGCTGGGCCCTCCCGGCTCTCCCCACAGTGTGGGGGCACAAGGGGATTCTCCTCCCACACAGGGCTTTATCCATCTTTATCCATCCTTATCCATCCCTTTCCCGCTCCTTGCTGCAGGGCAGTGTGGCTGCGTGCCCACCATGCGGTAGGAGAGGCGGGAGCAGAGGTGAGGGCCAGGAGCTTGCAGCGAGGGTGTCGGCTGTGGGGAGAACATGAATCCGAACGTCTGGAACATCAAGGAAATGCTGAGCACACCGACAGCCACCGGGTGAGCCATGGAGGGGGGACAGATGTATGTATAATGTATGTAAACACCCGGTGCGTCTGATAGCAATGGGGTGAAGCAGGTAAGAATTGATGTATTGTTAATGGTGGGTAATCAGCCTACTCCATGACCCTGTGTGTGTCACGCCTTGCTCCCAGCCTGCCATAGATTCACCATCACTGTGAATCTAAACCCCAGCATGGCTGTAAGCTGCACCCTGGGGAGGAGAGATGTATATATATAATGTATATAAACACCCTGGGTTGAAAGTGACCAGGTGAAGCACATCTAAACTGATCTGTGGTTGATTACCAGTTAATGGTGGTTAATTAGTGTAATCCATGACCCTGCATGTGCCTGCCTTGCTCCCATCCTGCCATAGATCCACCACTGCCGGATTTATGAAAGCTGCTCCCTGGGTTCTACAGGGTAGTCCCATTAGTCCGATCTCTAATGAGACAACTGAACTGCTCCATCTCCATCTGCCTGTGCAGATAAAGCAAACAGTGATCTGCAATACTGCTCCACGTTACGTAACTCCCACATTATTCCACATCCTGCATTCACACACATGGCTCAAGGGGTGGTTTTTACCCAGCTGGAGCCCATGGAGCAGCCAGAACCCCCTGCAAATACAACACAGAGTGAAACGACGAGTATTATGTGGATGTAAACATCTGGGGAGCAAGTGCGTAAGGCGGACATTGTTCTATGTTCTACAGCAGAGCATCACCCTTTGCATCACACAGCTAAATAGACAGCAAGATCCATCCCTGGTTTGAAGCTCACTGATGGATTTGCTCCTCCGAGCCTCTGTTAGTTAAATAACTCACTGACGTAACTAAATGCTGCTCAAATTCACAGTTTCAGTCACACCGTCTCCTTGGGCCGGCGTTACCGCAATGATGGATGATAATGAAAACATAATTGTGGTTTCCTGGCCCATTATAAATATATATATATATGAATTAATCGAATTTGCACAGCTGTGGGGGCCAAAGGGGAAGCAATGTAGGGAAAAACATGTTTATATCTGTCGTGGGTTTGTCTTTATAAATATGCATTGAGCAATTCTATTGTCCTCTTGCTACCTGCAGATTTCTTTTCTCTTTTAATTGTGTTTTCAGTAAGTTTGAGAACTTGTGGCTTTCTTTCTGGTCAGAGAGTGAGCAGGGGGATTCAGAGAATAGATAAAAATACATATTATTATACATAATAACATGGAATATTACATATTTTTATATATATGTTTCTATTAACTATATAAGTCATTCTATGTAGTCACGCAATAGGAAAAGAAACGAGTCTAAGACACACAGGTGCCTGTTTGGACAGGGATCCCTTTTTGCAAGTGACTTCAAAAGGCTCGAGTAGGGCAGAAAATGTCCCTGAAAATGCAGCTGGGGTTTTAGAGGAGCTAAAAAGGGGGAAAAGGTTCTCGGGAGGAGAATTGGCTTGTTAGAAAGGCAAAAATTATTACTCATAGGAGCACATGTTTGTGTGTGTTTGAAATGGAGGGAAAAGGTGTTGATTATGTTTCCCTGGCTCTGTTTCTGTTGCTGAAACCCTTTCCCATCACAGCAGGGTATGCTGTATAATCCCCAGAATACTGTCTTTGATGGAGCTTTAAGGATGAAACATAAAATCAGTGTATAATCCAGGTAGGGTATGAATCACGCTGTGAGCTCTGTGCAAGCTTGAGTCAGGGTGTTACATCTGAGAGCAGCTGCTACCCGGTCCCTAGGAAATGCAGAGCTCCAGTGATGCTGCACCCTCATGCAGTGGCTCTGCACAAGCCACAGACTGCTCTGGGGTTTATTTGTTATCTGTCAGACACACATGTGCTGCTCTGTAACCACTAGCAGCCTGAGAAATAGGGTGGGGGAAAAGAAGTCTTTGTTTTACCTGGTTTTAGGTATGAATATTGATTTAATATTGGTCCTAGAGATGCAGCAGAGGGAAGGTTATCTAGCTGGACACTAACATCAGGATGCCAACCATTTAAGAAGGTGGGAGAGGGGCACACAGATAGAATGACAACTGCACAGTGGAGAAAGCTTACACTCAATTTGAACATCTCAACAAAGGCACAGTTTTTGTGGTCTGAAATGCCAGATTTCAACAGGGAATGTGTGGCATTGGAGCAGCGCTGCTGCCTGCCCAGCCAGGAGGGCAGGAAAGAAAGAGGACGTGAGAACAGCAGCTGCAACTGCAGAGATGCTTCAATCAGCCTTTTACCAACTGGATAAGCACCAGCAGGGTGTGATGAGGAAAGAACTTTTTCACACTCCATAAATACCTGCCAGGCACTCCCAGGGGAAGGGACACGTCTGGCCTTGACCCTGAGCTGAGCACAAGACCTGCCTTCAGGGTATTGCTGTTGTAGTGCTACCATGAGTGACAGTAAGAACTGGAGTCAACATCTCTGCAGGAGCAACAGAAGCCAAACAACCCACTGCTGTTTAGTTTTAAAACCCACTGATGTAGTGATAAGGAAGCTCACTAGAAAGAAATTGAACTGAAGAGCCAAAAGGGTTAAATACTTGCTCAAGACCTAGAAGTTATTTAGACTTCATGTTGCAGGTCAGAATGTACCAGCTATCAGATCAGACATGAGAAGGACCAGTAGCAGACAGGCATGGTAAAGGAGACTACTGGAAACGAGAAGGCAACCTCCAGGCACTGAAAGACAATGAAAAATAGGAAAAAAGAAACTGATACATTATTATCTGGAATGGGAGTTATGAGAATTTTCTTGTCCCATGAGAGATACAGCAATTTGCTAAAGGCATAAAAGCTACTAATACATCAACTTCCAACGGAAGCCTGCCAAAGTGTGTGTAAGGCCAATATATGATGAAAATATTAGAGGCATTCAAAAGGGGTGCTGTAAGTTAAGGCCTACATGGGCTGCTACTACCACCTATGGCTTATTTCTGCTGCTGAGAAAAAACTTCCAAATACAACAACCTCATGCAATCCATTATCCCATGAAATTCCACCCCACATAGCAGGGCCATGTGTTCTGAAATTGCCTTATGGCCCCAGAATAAGCGGAAAATGGAGACAGCCAGGAAAAAGACCAGGAGAGCAGCTGTAAAAATCCTGAGCCCTGGAAGAAAGAGAAACCAGGGCTATGGAGGACAGCTTGAGGCTGGGGGAAAGCAAAGAAACCCCTCTTTCTCTCGATGCCTAACTCTTAATATGGTCAGGGATACATTATGCATAAGTAAACAGGACTGCTCCATGGAAATCTCAATCTCCTCCTAAGGAAAAGTCTCTGTAAGTCATTGCAACAGGCAAGCATCTCTTGTCATAAGGCTAACACAGTTTCCAAGGTGAGGAATGTCTGGGCAGTGTTGAATCACAGCCAAATGAATAATGGAATGGCTGATAGAACATAGAAAATGACCTTGAGGAATTAAAACAAGACCAGAAGAGCTTTAAGCCTGAAATCTGGAAACTGGAGGCAGTGTTTGAGCTGAGTAACTGAGAGGGATTTCCTTGTGGTTCATGTATTAGGGTCAGTGCCAAGATCTGTATGTAGACATTCCTTTCAGGATACAGTGCACATGATCTGCAGCAAGCAGGTCATGCAGTTCCAGAGGGCAGGAAGCAGAATAACAATTTTATGTTGCGGCTGTTCCCAGTGAAGGGGTGGCAAATGGCTGGAAGCTAAACCTCCTTGATTTAAGGTGCTCCAGGCCCCATGATGCTGAAGCTCCTCTGTACCTAAAGCTCCATTTGCTGAACACATTGGCAGGCAGCAAGTAGTGATGACGAGAACAGCACAGCAGAGCCAGAGCCAGTTCCTATAGATACAGATTAAATCCAGGAGGAAAAGCAGGTGAACAGCAGCTCCCAGAATTTCAATTGGATTTGTTGTGCTGCAGCCCTGGTCACTCCATGAGGAGAGCAGAAAGAGCTGGGAAATTTCCTGGAGGGGAATCAGAACAGGAACTTTATAGCACTGATTTAGAATCTTGAGTAGCTCAAGATTACTACGAGGAGAAAAAGATCCCTTCTTTGGGAAAGAGACTTCACTGCACTGTAAAGAAATGTGTTAGGAAGGTGCAAGTGAGCTTCACCCACAGTGCTGGGGAAGGAGAGGGATGCTGGCACAGGTTCAGTGGGAATGACAGAACCAAACAAAATCCCTCATGACAGCACTGCCAATAGATGTTATTTTGCAAACTGGAGAAGGCTCACTTTGCTTTTCCAAATGATTCTTCAACCTTACTGTTGGCAAATGAGGATGGATCCAAAGAACAGAGAAGACTGATAAGCCCTCATGCATTTTTAGCTTGTTTGATGCCCCTAGAAGTATGTAGGAAACACAAGAAGAAGGTGTTTTTATCTCATGCTGTGTTTCTCTTGGGTTGTATCTGACAGCTGGTTGGGGGCAAGGCAGAACCCCGAAGGAAAGGTGAATATTTGGTTATGGTTGTGCTAAAATATATGGAAGTGACAATCAGAACTTAGGAGGAATGAAAGAAGCTCCCAAAAGATCAAACTTCTCCTGTGGAGGGGAGATTCCTGCTGGCAACAGGGAAACTGAGTCTTCACAGAACCAGCTGACTCCCCACATACGCAGGGGGCTACACAGCTTTTAGATCGCACTCATGTTACAGAAAGCTTTGAGGTTGCCAATATTCCAGTACCTTGCATGAAGTTAGGTGGGAAAAAGAAACCATTCCACCAGTCAGCAGAGGATGATTTAGTATTTCTTGGGGCTGACAATAACTTGCCTTATGTGTCTAATTTGGAGATACATATACAGAAACATTATGGGCACAAAATGCATGAAGGAGTTGGGGAATGTCTTATGCTAGCAGAAAGCTAGAAGTTCTCCTGAAGTAAACTATTGCATCACCTAGGAGGGACTTCTAACTGGGATTATATATCTAGGATGTTTCCTCCTGGTTTATATTTAGGATGGTGCGTGCATCCCTGCAGCTCAGGCATCCTGAAGGGAATGGTCAGGTGGTGAGAAGAGCTGTGGAACATGGATCTGGTCACAGACCTGATCACACTTGTCTGACCTCACCATCAGGAATAGGGAGATACACCAGGGCCACACCTTGACCAGGCTTAGATGGTCTTGTTAGTAAATGAATTGTTAATGAAGCAAGGGAGAAAGAAATCCATTGCTCAGGGGAATGAGTGTATTCAAAAGAGACATCTCTTTCATCTCTCCTCCTAAATTCCAGAAGTGGAAATTTAGTCTCTAAATCAACCAGCAAATAGTTGGATTTAAGACAGAAAACAGAGGCTGTAGAGCAGCCAATAGCCACCTTTGGTCCTAGGGTCAGTGCAGAGTGAGCCTGTGCAGTCACTTGCCTCCTAAAGTCCTCTCAGCTCAATTCTCCTCAAAATACCCATCACAAAACTCTTTGTTACAGGATTCCTGTACTTGAGGCATTAAGTAATGTGAAGGAACCCAGAAAATGAGCAGGTTGCAGGATGTCATGCCAAACACTTTCAAAGGCAGTTTGACAAGGCAGTGGAGCACTTAAGGATTATAAAACCTTCCTTAAACTAAGAGGAAGCTTTTTTCATTGGGAAGACAGGAGGATTTAGAAAACTGGTGCAGGAGATGTGATACAATGCAAGCAGAGGTTCTGCCTATGCAGAGACACAGCAGCCCGTGTGCTCTTAATCCTGGTACTGCCTGGGGATTAAGAAGTTTGGGGGTTTTTCACAAAGCTGATCTGAGATGGTGAAAGTTGTGTTCAGATTCTTTTCTTAATAGATTTGGGTCCAGAGACAGATCAAGGGAGAAGCTTTGAATTCAGATAGATTTCTCAGGCTTTTTAAGGCTCCAGAGGCCCATACATACCTCATCTATTTTTGCCTGCGGCTCAGTGAACTCACTGAGCTTAAAGCCAAAAGTTTTAATACGATATTGTCACTGGCACCATTAAATAATAAAGAGGGAAACTGAGCAGTTCAAGTACTGCTACTAAATCCCTGCCCTGTTGTGTATGTGATGTTTGGGCTCCTTCCAAAACCGGGGATTAACGGGACATGTCACTGCTAATAACCGTTGTGGTGATCATCTTTTGTTAGACGCCTGAATTAGTCTCCTGTTCCTTCTTTACTTCTATGAAGTGATATGGAAAGAAAACCCTGTGTAAGAGTCTTTTCATTGATACTGTCCTGTAATTCCAAAGGCAGCAACACACCTCTCCATTTTGATAGCTTAAAACCCAGCAAGAACTGAGAGTATAAACCTGGTCCAGCTTTTCTAACATTTGGACCTAGCACCCCATCAGACCTCGCAGATGTGGAGCAATGGAACAGCAATCATGTGAAGAATGAAAAGAGTCTGTATCTTTGCTAGCAAAGAACCAAAACCAGCCCCTGACACAATGAGAAGAAATGGTGCAGCTGCATAGGGAAACCCTTGTCTAAGGGAAGCTGGTCCTGTGCCATGAGCCTAGTCCATAAAGCAGTAGAAGCTGTGTCTCTGAAGAGAAGTAGAATCAGAGCAACACAGCACAAAGTCAAGGCTGGCTGGAAAAGGTTCATCTGGGAGGCCTTCAGGGGAAAACAAAGAACTTCTGAGTAGTACATAATTACATCTGAAATATTTCTGACAATCCAGATCAATTTGTCCAGCCATATGCTACCCATTTATTTGTTGTTCCAGCATATCAGACTCTAGGCATCTAGAGAATATATGCCCAAGAAACATCAACTGTCAGTCAGAAAGGTTTACTCAGTTGGAACTGCCTTCCAAATCCACCAAGCAGCATGAACTACAACAAGAATTATTATCCAGATGGTGACAAGAGAGTAACCTGGCACTTGCTGGGGGCAAACCCCACAGTGTGCCTTAAATTAACACTGACCAGCAGAGCAGGTAGGATGAACTGGTCAGTCCTGGGTTTGGTCTTCTGCCTGTAGGACATGCTGGGGAAACACTTTAAACCTGCAAGGTGACTGCAGAGCTCGCACACTGTGTTTGTACCCAGTTTAAGATAAACCTGTTGGCTTTGAGTAACAAAACCACATGCTGTTAAACATTATTTAACAGTTAGAGGAACAGTAGAGTGAAAATGGACACGTTGGTGTGGGTCATGCTTGAATGGCTCCTGCAGGTTGTGCAGGGAATTCTGTTTGGCTTTTGAATTGCTCAATACCCATTCACAACCCACTCTGCCCCATTGCAGGTCAAATAAGTTTTCCATCCGGAGCAGCGCTCCCAGTGACTACTCGAGTTTGAGTGACTCTCAGCTGCTCTTTGGCTCCCAGTTCTGCCCAGAGAATGTGCAGCCAGCAGCCGCTCTGCTGGAGCTGGGCACACAGCCGGGACAGCACAACTCCCAAGATGTGAGTCTCACCCTCCTTCAGTCCCATGCAGGCACACAGCCTCCATTCAAAGTCAATGGAAAATGCTAAAACCAACTGGTAACTAGTTCTAGTCTTGTCAGATAACTTGGTACTTACGTTGTCTATATATCTATCTATTTAGATTAGATCTTAGGCAGAAGCTCTTCCCTGTGAGGGTGCTAAGGCACTGGCACAGGGTACCCAGAGAAGCTGTGGCTGCCCCATCCCTGGCAGTGTTCAAGGCCAGGTTGGATGGGGCTTGGAGCAACCAAGGAGTTGCTCCTGCCTCCAAACACTGGGATTCATTTATAGTCTCTGTATTGATCATACAGAGAGTGAAAATCTGCACACCTCATGATTGTAACCAACTGAAAATGCCCAAAATGAGAGAAAAGCCTGAGTCTGGAGACATTTGGGCTTCATCTCAGTTCCACAGGGAGTTGATCTAACCAGGCATGCTAAGTGAGGCATAATCTCATGAAATTCTTAATCATCTCGTCCAATCTAATCTGTCACATCCAATCACTGTGACCTGTATGCAAAGCACTCGAGAAACAAATGTTTGTGGGTTTTTTTTTTCCCCTAATGAATGTTCTGGTTATTTTTATACTCCAACAGTTTTTCTTCCTTTTGTGCAACAGAGCGAGCCCAGTATTTTCACCAAATACCAGATGAAACCACAGTTATTTGATGAAGAGATAAAAGAAAAAGCTCCACTTCATTTTGGTGCGGGAAGAGTGAAAAATATCTTGGAAAGTTTTGAAGTGAATAAGAACAAAATAAAGGACAAATATGATCGGTATGTAAAGCATCCATTGGAAATCCTTTCTGTGCTGGTGGTTAGCACTCCCTGCAGCTCCTTCTTCCCCTCTTCAAAGTCATACATGACAGAGCTGCATATTTCTCCAAGAAATGTATCTTTTCAGGTTTTAAACAATCTCTGATTGGAAAGAGCCACAGGATAAGAAAATCGGGTTTATTTCCAATGTGATTTATGTAACGCGCTCAGCCATAAACCACAACGAACAACACAACTCTAACCTGACTTCACCTTTGTCCTTCTTTATCTCATCAGCAGGGGATTTTCGCTATTGATTCTCTGTGAAAACCCATATTTCTCAAATGATACACTGTGTTGGGACTGATTGAAGGGGCTCTGAGCACAGCCTTTGCATTCAGGCCAAAAGTGGAGATAGCCAAGCATACTTGTGTGCAGGGGAAGATGAAATGATTATCCCTTTTAAAATCAGCACATATCTCTAGAATTTCACTTGTAAACAAGATTTTTATATCCTGTGGTTTGGTAACAGGCAAGTGGAACGTGCCCCCTGTGGTTTGCCTCTGCTCTTTGTCAGATGTTAAGAATGAAACGGTCAAGTAGGCCCAGAAGGACCTTAAGGAACAAGCAAACCGTTTGAAGCTCAGAAATGAAAGATGGCAAACTTCCCAGTGCACCTATAAATAATTCTTAGCACTGTACATTTTCTAATGTAATATCCGAAGTGAAATGCATTGTTATTAAAACCTGTGATCAAATCCGGCTATGTATCCTTTGCTCTTTTGCAATGGGCACTGTTTCTGACAAGGTGAAGTTGATTCTGTAGTGCCTATTGGAGAAGAGGAGGATTTTTGTAAATGAATTAGGAGAAATGAACCAATAGTTTTTATTGTTTAGGCAGAACTCTTAATTATCCTTTATATCTTCTTTAAATTAATTATGCTCCTTCCTACGCTCCAGATTCTCTCCCAGTTTATCAATTTGTATCACCTGCAAGTTTGACTAATCAAATTAATATCTTCCTTTCCATAAGGCTAAGAAGCTTTCAGAAAGCCCTCCTAATTCTTATAACTAGACTCTACCTGGCCTCCACCTTTTTCTTGTTGCAATTTGGATCACTAAAGGACTGATTTTAAATTACCTGGCTCTTCCGAGAGGAAATATGTTATCACTTTGCTTAGGATTTGGTTTGGTGGGTTAATCATGAACACAGGCTCACTCAACTTAAAAGGATGGATAACAGAGACCACAGGAGAAAAGGATTTGCAGTATTTGCTCTTCCTGGCTTGGGCTTTGTTGATACTGAAGCTTTTCCCATGCTTTTCCCACAGATATTTAATTCAAGTACAACATCCATGTATCCCAGCAATTGGCATGTCACCTTCGCCAAGGTTGTGTCCTTCCAGAGCAGACAGAGCTGTGGTGACACCCCAGCACCTAAGGGACAGTTGTGGAAATGCCAACTAAAACTCTTGAGAGAGGCACAAATGCTAGGCCAAAAATGAAAGAGTTAAAAACCCAACTCCATGTACATGACATAAACATACATGGTATATAGAGGGGTTTTTTCTTACTCTACACATCAGAACCCATGCTTTCCTAAAACAAATAAGGTGACTTCAAACAGTGTCCATCCCCGTCCGCCCCCCCAAAGTAAGCATGTTTCTGTGCTTATATTATGCACTACACTATGCCTTGCAGTGTTTCATGCCTCATGTTTACTGTGATCTTCTCAATTTCTGTCTACTTCAGTAACATACATGTCTGATTTATATTTGGTTTTGTTTTTTCCTTTTTTTTTTTTTGCATTTTAGTGAGGTTTTAAGCACCTTTATTTCCAGTATCAAAGACAAGCTTCAAGGGGTAAGTTAATTCAAATTCAGACTGCAGAATAATGAGCTAGAAATGCTACAGAACATTCACCTTCTCTCATTTACTGTGCTAGTTCCATTATTACACTATTTGTCTTGAGCACTCAAATACTTTAAACCAATGGCTGTCAGGGTTTTTATATAGACCATTGTCTCTGTGGCTTGTCCATAGGGTCAAGGTCTTTAGGGCCTTGCCTCAAAGTCAGCAGTAGGATTTCTCTGGGTCTCAGGAGCAAGAGCAGGCTGTGATGGCTGCAATGTCTGCAGATACTAGTTCTTGTTTCCTTCTGCCTGAAGAAAACAGTCTACTCTTGGGAATAAGTCAATGTGGCCTTACTGTGTGAAGGTAAAGGTCTTCCCCCTAACATATTTATAATTGTTCAATGTAATTATTAGTGCTATTTTATAGATCAGTATCTCTAGTTTGCAACCTCTTAAGAGGTCTGCAACATTTCATAAGCCATTCCAGATCTCCTTTGGGGTTGCAACCAAAGCTGAACAGATAAATCACTTTTTTCAGGGAGTTCCATTCCATGAGTTGCAGTTGTTATTCTGAGGCTTTTGGGGTTGTGGTTTTGACACCAAAAAAGGGCAATGTATTAATTTTCTTCCCTTTACCTTTGTTTTTGCAGCTGCAAGGATGCTTGGACCAGTTTGGAGAAACATTTGATTCAAGAAACAAATCCATTTTGGCTCACTTAGAAACCGTCTCCAAGACACGCAAGTCCTTTCTGTATTTCTGTTAACAGCAGAGGGCACAGTCAAACTGCTGAATGTCAGCGTGTTGTCTCCAAGAGGGGGTAAACTAGGCAGGTCATGTCACTCACAGCTGCTCTTCCCAAGGGAGAAGAGCAAATGAGTCTTATCCATCGCATGGACTTGTCTGGTTTTCTATTCTTGCTCTGCTATATTTTCCTTTTCTCTGCTCTCTTGTGTCAAGGAACTTAGGTGTTTCGTGGTTAGATACCATGCACAGATAAATGCACTTCCGTGTTTTCATGTTCTGCCTGGAGTATCATCATTTTTAGACTATGTGGAGCTCTAGTGGAAAACACAGTAAAAATAACTTGGATATTTATATCCCAAGTATCCAGTTTCAGTTTTTCAGGATTTCTCAGATTTTCATGTGTTAGTTTGAAGCCTTCCATTGCTCCTCTCTGTGGCTTGAAGTGGTCATATTTTAGATATGAACAAAACTAGTACTGCTCATTTCTCAAGAAGCAGATAGTGAAGCATGCTATTGCCATGACAGAAAGGTGATCTCCCCATAAAGCCAGCAGTGTAAACCACTTTAGAACAGCCCTGTCTCTGAAGAGGCTTGTCACAGCAGTCTTTGCTGAGGGAAAGGGCTTCAGAGGAATTGTTTCTAATTTGGCTTATGCCCGAGCCTTTGAGAGGGCATTAATCTTTAATGCTGGTGTGATTTTTTATCAACACCCTGTCAGGACATTGCTCAGTGCTTGTCCTCTGTGCAAGAGGAAGAACCCTTCAGCGCATGCTTTACCTTGTGAGATCAAGGTAGCAGACCTTCACAAAAGCATTGTAATATTTACTGGGTGGTCAAACGCAGCTTCCACGAAGCACAGCTTTGACAGATACCCTTTAAGTCAGCACAGTCCTCTCAGGCAGAAAGAGTGGAGCCTGGTTCATTCTGCTGGAGGTTGTGATAGTCTGAAATATGAAATCCAATCCTGTTATACCGAGAACACTCCCTTGCTGTGCTTGGCAAGTGCTCTCAACAAGACCTTAATGTAAGCAAGAATCCGTCTGCTTTGGCCAGCCCAAGCTTCCCATTATGCATTTGCCCATCTCCCAATTCCTTCAGCACCTCAACTCACCCACTCTCTGACAGGACTTTGCCTGATTTCATACACCTTGTACACAGAAATTGTTGTCATGGCACTGAAAATCAAATCTGTTGTTCACAATTCCCCCTTTTCATTCCATACCATTTACTCAGCTGTCCTGTTTCTTCTCCATACTCATTTTAAATAAATGTGCCTTGAATGAAATGAGAAGCCTCCCCGAGGTGCCTGCTGCTAGATTTTCAAAGCAATTGAAAAGAAAAATTGGCTCTTTCTGCAATGTATCATGCTGCAGAATGTTGAATCTATAATGAAAATCATCACATGCTCCACAATGTTGTTCTTTTTATATTTAGGGGAGGTTCATCTGTCACTGCTTAATTGCTGATAAATGCTGCCATTTGACTCTATCACAGCAATGGGTAATTAAGCTCCCACTAAATAAATACCTGCCCTAGTGCCTTGAAAAGATCCCAACTGAGGCAATTCCCTTCCTAAACTCAGGTGATAATGTGCTACATTCAGAGCTGATAAAGCACGGAATGACAGTGGCTGATGATACAGTACCTTGGGATGTGGGTGACATGGGAGAGACACAGTAAATCATTGGCAGCAGAAGACTTCACATGTAGGAGAGGAATGCAGAAAATGAAGAAGCTCTTTTCAAGGCAAGAAGTAGCACACCAGGACCATGAAACAGATCTGCAAAACAAAGAAAGGTGGAACTTGAAATCAATCCCTTCTTCATTAAAAGCTTATAGAGTATGGCAGGCTGCAGTTATAGCAGTGGGGAGCAAGACATTTGGCAGCCTTCAGAGCCAGTGGGCAAGAACAAAACAGACAATGTTTTTCAGCACAGATTTCCAAATGCTGTTGGTCTGGCATGCAGGAAGAGCTATAAAAAGTGCTCTCCATGGAGTGTTTGTCCATATGTGCTTGCACACAGTGGATGGAGCTGTGTCTGACACTGCAGATGAGGCAGTGTTTGCCCAAGTAGCTCCCATAGCTGCTCTGTTACTTGCTCACATCTTGGTGTGCTGTGCACAGGGATGGGGAGAGGCAAGCAGACCCCACGCCCTCAGTTCTTCCACCTGATTGAGTTACCTGCTCATCATCACTCTTTCCTTCTGGTTTCAGGTCCCCTAACTCATGATTGTTATGCTTTTCTCATTTTATTTATATACCCCCACTTCTAGCAAAACTTTCTCTATTTTTTTCCATACAAATCCCAGTTTTCACAACTCAACCCTCCCAGAACAGCTTTGCTCTCCTGCTGTCTGGCAGTTCCAGCTGTGACAGTTCCTAACAACCAAGTCCTCCACACCACCTTGACTCCATTGCAAATAAGAAGCATATTCCCAGCCAGCATTTTCACAGGCAATCCTCTGGTGCTCCTGCCAGCAAGGGTGACACAATAACGTGCAACATGACCCTTACAGAGGTAGAAGCTGATGCAATTCTCTGACGAAATACAGGACCTGGTGGGCAGTTTTCAAACATGGCTTGTTTCAAGACTCCTCAGACCTTAGAGCAGCTCCCAGTGCCTAAAGGGGCCAACAAGAAACTTGGACAGGAGCCTGCAGGAACAGGCCAAGGGGAATGGCTTTAACCTGCCAGAGGGGAGACTGAGATGAGTTCTGAGGCAGAAGCTCTTCCCTGTGAGGGTGCTGAGGTGCTGGCACAGGGTGCCCAGAGAAGCTGTGGCTGCCCCATCCCTGGCAGTGCTCAAGGCCAGGTTGGACACAGGGGCTTGGAGCAAGCTGCTCTAGTGGAAGGGGTCCCTGCCCGTGGCAGGGGTTGGGACTGGAGGAGCTTTAAGGTCCCTTCAGCCCAAGCCAGTCTGGGATTTAAGTTCTGTATGAATTGAAAAGCCAAGATTTAAAGTTCATAAAAGAAACACCTTTCCCATGCAGCTGCTAATGAGCCGTGCAGTGACTGGCAATGATCCAAACAGGATGCAGCTGTGACAGCCCAAATGTCTCACTCACTGGCATACAGCTCAGTTACTGCCCAGGCAGAAAACACAGCACTAGGCTGAGCCCCACAGCTGTCTTGTCTCACGTCTCACTGGGTTTGTACCACCTCCTATTCCCCTGCTGCACTCAACCTCTCTCCAAAGTGTTATTTAAAGCCTCTGCACTGTCAGTGCCAATCTAGGACGAACTGCAGATGATAGATAGGCATCAGAAAGAGTTGCTATTTAATATTCCTGGGCTGGGAGGCTCTGGCTCCTTCTTTGACTGCTTTCACTAGAGTTCTCAGCTGCTGGGAATGCATGCTGATTTGGGGGAGCCCTCTGCAGCACAGGGGGGCAGACCTATCCCAAGGTCCTACAGCATTTTATCTGATGCCAGATTTCACATTCCTTAGGTTATTAATGGAAACAAGTAGCATCCAAAGACCATGCTACAGCAAATCAAAACACAGTGTAAAAGACTGCTTTGTTTAAATACCTTGAGAGGCACAAGTCTGTGCATAAACCACCCATTAATGGAGTAAAGGCTTTCTCTCAGTGATCAAGTTATTCAGTAACTATCTGCTGCAGGGTTTATTTGGGAGAAACTTGCTCTGAGGGAGCTGTTCTTGATCATTTTCAAAGACAAGAGACTTGACTAACAGGCTCCTTAATCTGATCTCATTTGGTCACCTCAATCCCTATATTTTAAGTCTTAGACTAATGTTCATTTTTTATTTTCTTTAATAGGGTTTGACAAGCCTGAACACTCTCATGGTATGGAAGCCAGGGAGGGAAAGAGAATGCCCCTCCCCTGTGCTGAGAGTGGTTTTATCCTGCAGAACACTCCTACACTACAAACGAAGCGCATTCAAAAGCCTGGCTGCCAGTTACTTGCCTGCAGCATGCTATGCTGAGTCAAACCTATGTGCAGATCACAAGCCCAGTGGATGCAGGGTTATTTTTAGTCAGAGGATACCATGTTGTAGGAGAACAGACAGGGGAGGGAAACAGTAAAGTTATAAAAATAGTCCTACACTAAAATTAAGTGAATGGAGAAGAGCAGCAAGCTAATGGGAGCTCGCTGCTGCTGGCCTTCCTATAGCCCCACTGTGGCACAGTGGAAGGTGATGAAGGGATGTGAAAGGAGTTTCCTCCTACAGTCCCTGCTGTTTTCCTCCCCTTTAAAGGCTTGCAGGCTAGGATAAGGCTGGTAAAACCCTGCTCTCAGGCTCCTAGTAGCCCTGAGGTCTAACCAAAGGTCTTGAAGGCCCACTCAAACATTCTCCCCACCACTACAAACCCATTCTGCAAGCCACAGCTTTCCCCCTGTGATTTGTTAAAAAGTCTTAATCTGTCAGAGCAAAAGACTAAAAGCTTAAAAACGGCAGTGCAAGAGCAAATACAAGAAAATTGCCTGCAACAGCAGAGAGCTTATTGCTGAAATATGTGCAGATAATCCTCAGAAATCAGCCACACTCCTACAGAGAACAAGGCAAAGCCATGTGGTGATGGACACCCTGAGAAAATGAAGAAATTCCCCCCAAACCTACATCTAGGAGGTGGTTTAACTCGATGCATGTGAGGATGAGGGCTCCTTCTCACAGCTTATGCTGTGCCCAAGCATCACTGCTTCATATGAAGGCAAAGAATACATCTCCTCTCAGCAAAGCAGCATCTCTTAAGCAGAAGCTGTGCTATACAACAGCACAGCACCTCCAGCCTCACACCACCAGACACCTCTGCTGCGCATGGCTGAATAAGCCATACACTTTCAACCTCCTTTCATAAGAGGAGATTATCACTAAGCACTTCATTATCTTCTAGCTCTCCTCTGCACGTGTCCATGCTCAATCTCTTACCTTGCACGAGGACAGCTACAGGTGTACAGGGACTTCCAGCACTCCCCACCAGCCAAAGCCTGTATCCCACCACACTGCCCTGTTTCAGCACAGCCCCTGGTGCTGGCATTTGAGCCCATGTCTTCTAATTACCTTCTAATTACCTAAATGCCTTCAGGTTTTTGCACCCAGGTGATTTTAAGCAGGTTTTGCCCATGGGGAGGCCTTAAGGAGCACCTTCCATACCTGCCTTGTCCTCTCATGCTACCCTTCCCAAGAGCTGATGTTTTCCCTTTAACTGAGGCTTAATCACTTAATTTTTCTCAGCTTTTTTATTTTCATATTACATGACAGCTTCCACTGAAAAGCTCTATTTGTGTCTGCAGCAAGGCCACTGCCTTTGTCTAAGAAATCACCTATCTCATCCTAATGCACTACATTAGTCAGGCCCAATCCGCCTTTTACAAAACCTTGTTCCATTTCATTCCATTTTCCCCCATGCCTTTGAGTACTCTTTCCCTTAAAATCTATTCTAAAACCCTGCACAGTGTGAGAACAAACCAATAATCCCATAATTGCTCAGATCTCTTTCTCCCTTCCCAAATGTACCCTTTAAAAACACCCCTGTTTTCTCACAGCAGCAAAGCCTGTACAATCCCTTTCTGCCTGCCTCTCCCTAATAGTTTTTAGCTCTTTAACCAGTTCCACCTAGAGCCTGACAGAGGGCACAGCTCACCGAGATAATTAAGTCCCTGCAAGCTTAATGAAAATAGCTGGGCAGGAGAAGTGATCCTGAGCACTGTGCAGCCTGGGAGCACAAGTCTCTGGGGCAAGAGGTGCCCTGATATACTCCATGTGCAGCAACAGCTTCAAGCTCTCAATTCCACCAACACCAAAGTCAATCGAACACATTGGGTCTGTAGTGAAAGAGGACTAATTAATCACAGAGCTCTTGTAGCCACTTGTTGAAATGTGGGGTTTACTCTGACTGCTCAGTGCTAGTCCAGGACTCCGGAGTTTCAGTCATCCCGGCCCGTGTGCTTGGCAATGCTTTTGTTTTAGCAGGAACGCTTTGGATCCTGTTCTGTGCCAACATTCCACCCCAGCCACACCATCTGGACACACCTTCCTGCCTGTTCTCAGGAATGTTTAGGGAACAGCTCTTTCTCTCCATCCTAATTTATGACGTTAAAGGAAGACTTCTGTAAGATTGCTAAGGATTTTTCATCCCCACACAGGCTGTAAACCACATTCCTGGCTGGAGTGTATTAGGCACAGCAGTGGTTCCTGGAACTGCAGCTGCATGGGGGCAGGAATTGTCCAATCATACAGCACAAATCCCTATTTTTGATCAGTTTTTCAACAAGAGCATCTTGCTCCAGTTTGAAACCCTCTCCACAGGACATTGCCATGGCCCTCACAACCTTACAGTATTTCAGCTGCAGCTGCCCAAACACTGGTTATACTGGGGTGCATCAGCTATACTGGGGTCCCCCTCTGGCTGTGCCTCTTGTACAGCTGGCAGACAACTAAGCCTCATCCTTGCACTGAGCAGAGGAAGTTCAGCAGCTTCACGTAGCCTTTCATCTCCAGCTGCCATATTAATAGAGCTCAGTAAATGAGGTTTGGCCTGTGCTCACCATCTTATAAATTCCAAGTGCTTTGCATTAAACATCCACCCTATTGTTCATGGCTTGGGGCTCAGAGAGATCTCAGCAGGCAAATCACTATGGTTGCACAGCACAGGGAAGTATCTCATGCCGAGCCGTGGAGTAAATAGCGATAGTATTGACAGTGCTTTATTCACATTTACAAATGAAAGACCAAATATGGGTTTTTATTGATTTCCCTGTTTAGTGCAAGATGCTTTTCAGAGTCAGTGTGGTTTGGTGCTGAAAGCTCTGACAGACAAAAGCCAAACGGAGCAGGCGCTGCTGGAGATGGAGAGGAGACTCGCAGCAGTAAGTGCAGAAATTAACCTTTCTTTCTGAGCCTTTGCTCTGGATTTCTCCCACTTCTACAAAATATGAACTGAACATTAGATTGCCTTCCAATGGTGGGTTATAAAGTAGACTGTTCCTGTTCTAACGAAGGGGGAAAGACATTAAAATGCTAATTCTAGGCTAGATACTGACTGATGCTTAAGCGAGCACTGGCTGACAGCGCTGTAAGCTCTGATGAAACCCTGATTGAGAAAGAGGGGAGCCCAACAGTGCCCTGTTGTGGCAAGTGGTGATGATGGAGCACTGCTTCCTCACGCTGGCACATGCCTTCACTGGAGGAGGTGGTGCAGTGCGTGCCTGTGAGGGGAGAGCATCTCGCAGAGGTGCAGTGCCTTGTCCCTTCAGCTGGCTGCTTCCCCAGAGAGAGGAAAGAAGAGGTGAAAAAAGAACAAGTAGGTGTCAGTGGTGAAAGAGCGACCTGTCAGAGAGCTCCTGGACAGGTTGGGCTTCTCTAAAGGCCCTGCTGCACAAATTGCTTTTGGCAAAGATGTGTCATGCCAGCACATGAGGAGGCAGTGCTCCTGGGAGAGAGGACACACCCCGGGTTAGGGGTATGCCCCAATCCCAGCCTCTCACTTCTGTGGGACAGTTTCATAGAATCCTACAATCCCAGACTGGTTTGGGTTGGAAGGGACCTTAAAGCTCAACCAGTTCCAACCTGCTGCCATGGGCAGGGGCACTCTCCACTAGAGCAGGTTGCTCCAAGCCCCTGTGTCCAACCTGGCCTTGAACACCGCCAGGGATGGGGCAGCCACAGCTTCTCTGGGCACCCTGTGCCAGCGCCTCAGCACCCTCACAGGGAAGAACTTCCTAATATCTAATCTGAATCTAGTTTGAGAACATGCATTACACAAGTAGATATAAATGGCTGATTTTTGGTTCAATTACCCAATTTAAGGGGTCTAACTGACACACAGTACCTTAAAGTTTCTGATTTAAATACTCTTCTTGCACGTTTTAACATGCTGCTCACTGCTTGTGGTCTGCTTGCTGCTTCCCCAGAAAGATGCAGAACTTCTAGATGTGAAATCCAGTGTCCAGCTGCTGAAGGAGGGTCTGGAGTCGCTGCCAGCTCAGCTGAGAGATCAGCACCTGAAGCTGTGTGAAGAACTTGGCTTCCTGAAGCTCCCTAACACTTTAGATGAGCTGCACACGTTCATTTCTATTGCCAAAGCCCGCCCTGCCATGGCTGATAACTCCTCCCAGACCTCTCCTGGCCCATGCCAGCTCTGTGCTCTGCATGAGCAGAGCCCCTTGGGTCCCTTTCACTTCCCCTGCGTGAGACAGGGGGAGCAGCACAGAGGTTCCCCCACGAGGAACCAGGTCACTGGGGATGGCACATCTATAGATGACCTAAACACAGCCTCAGAAGGGAACGTCAGCCCCAGTGCTGCCGAGGTGTGTAGAGAACACTCCTCATTGCAGGAGGTGAAATACAGTTCGGAATCACAGAGATGTGTCAACCACCCTTGCATGTGCTGCCCTCACAGTCACTTTTTGGGAGGGCATCAGAAGCAGCACTGTCCTGCACCACAGGATGTGCCTCTACCCACTCCACTGAGGAAGGCGATCAGGAGAAGCACTCGAGGGTTCCAATCCATGATGCCATCGCGACAGAGGCCGCCCCAAGCTTCCCACCTTCGGAAAGATGTGCCTGGGAGAAGAGACAGCAACTGGAACATGGACCATGAGGTGGAGAATGCAGCTGTAAGGAACAGAGTGAAGCAGAAGCAAGGAAGGATCCCCTGGAATAAAGCAATGGGAAAGAAGAAAACGTGCCCTGCTGTGAGAAAAGGTGAGCTCTCCCGATGTGCTGAGGCTGGGCTGAAGCAAAGGAAGGCAAATGGGACTATTGAGTTGGAGAGCTCCAGAAAAAATGGCTTTCCCAGGTACAAGGTTGCTCTCAATTTGGGAAGCTCCAGCTCAGCTCCCAACCAGCAGGTCCTCAGCACTCAGACAAGGCTTACAAAGCACTTCCCACCAGTGCCCTGCTCCGATAAAAGCCTGCAGCAACTTGCAGACAAGAGAAAGAGAAGCTTGGAAATGCAAAAGAGAGAAAAGGTTTCCATTGTGAAAAGGTACCTCCTGGATTCCTCACCTCAGGAGAACACCTTTTCCCTGTGTAGCACCACGGGTGAAAAACAGATGAGCTGCTTCAGCCTCCAAAGCCCTGGAAGCACCAAGAAGCCCTATCCTGTTGCTGCGCTGCCTCAGCAGAACACGGGCTGTTGCTCTCTAGTTTTTGACAGTGATTATTCTGATTGAAGGGTTTTGTTGCCTGTTCAGGGTCCTCAGTGCCGTCAGTTTATCCTTGCAAGTGCTACCTGCTTAATCAGAAACAAGGTGCCTGGATGCTTGGAAGTGTTATTGCCCACTTTTGTTGTAAGGGACTTCGTGGGATCAAGGGGAAACTCCCCCTTAGCATGGAAAGCCAATGGGATCTGTATTAGTTTGCTCCCTGCTCCCAGCAGAGGTGCCCTAGGCTCCAAATACAGTCATATTTACATAGTATGACCCAGACACTCACCAGGGAGGAGAAGGCAGAGCACAGATGAGCAGCTCAAGCAGTCTCAGCACTGAGGCCTGCCTGAAACTCTCCAGCTAGGTGTAATAACCCCTCTGTGGCCAGAGGCTTTACTCTGCTGTTTCTCACTTAGTCTCTATGCTGGTTTGTGTGTCTCAAGAGTTCAGGTTCTGAGCTCCCCAGGCAGCAACAGTGTTCATTGTTCTTGTTAATATCAGTAAGGTTCAGATTTGTTTGGACAGGAACAAGTTTCGCTGAGGAAACCCAAATCCCACCACCTCGGGTTCATCAGTTATTGCGTTTCTTCTCCTTTCAAGCAGAAAATTCTTGGTTTCAGAAAACTCAGGAAATGATTTGCCTCTCACATCTCTTGGCTAACCAAGGAATTCTCCAGTGTGCACTTCTCAAGGGCAGTGGTCCCAAATGGGAGCCAAAAATGTGACATTCACACTGAGCAGATGAAGCCACTGGTGGACAGCCCTTGTTCTTTAGGAACCTCTCAGGTGAGGAGTTGCTCCAAAACACCCAGGTCAGGCACATCTGATTTGCAATCTGAGTAATTACCAGCAAAAGCAGCATTTGGTGTTGACAAAAGAGCTCTATTGCCACGAATCTGCACAGTGCAGCTTCGCTGTCCTGAGGGGGAAGGCTGCGATCCCTTTTTCCTGGCTGTAATAAACTCATTGTGTGTTTGCCAAAGTCCAGCATGGCTGTGTTGGTCTTTGGGGAGAGGCAGGATCCTGTTCCCGCGGGTGAGCAGGCGGCTGCTCTTTTAACTGCCCTGGATCATGGAGCTGGGAGGATTCGTTTGTTCAACTCCTCTCTGATGTTTAAAGAAGGAAACCTCCACCCTTCCCGTTCCACACTGGTTCAATGATGATAACTAACAAGGAGAAGGCAGTGGGGGACAGACGGGGAGCCCCCTGAGCCTTGGGGTGAGCAGAGGGGCTGCATGATGGCATCATGGCCATGCAAATCACATCATCCTCCGCTACCCACCTCCATCCCAGCATAGCCTGTGCTGGGCAGAACCAGCTCCATGGGGTCGATGGAGATGGGTTCAGGCCCTGGACTGCAGGCAGCAGCTCTGCAGCACATGGCTGAGCTTGGAGGGACCTCTGGAGGTGTCTCTGTGCTGAGACAGAGCAGGGCAAGGCTCCCCAGCACCCCAGAGATGAAGCAGCAGTGGGATACGATGCAGGGACCACTACAGCCCCCGACTACATGCACATGACAGCAACCAAAAACCCTGGAGAAAGGAGATGTAACAGCAACAGCAGCCAGTGGAGCCTCTCCCTGCACCAGGCAAGTCCCTGGCCTTGAGCACTGCCAGGGATGGGGCAGCCACAGCTTCTCTGGGCACCTTGTGCCAGCGCCTCAGCACCCTCACAGGGAAGAGCTTCTGCCTAAGAGCTCATCTCTGGCAGGTTAAAGCCATTCCCCCTTGTCCTGTCCCCGCTGTCCTGGGTGAGAAGAGAGCAATGGTGGTGACAGGGGTTTGCCACAGCTGCAGTGGCTCTGGTGCTGCCCGAGGGACCGGGGAGCACCACCTGTGTGCCAGTGCCCGGAGCCAGTGTCACTTTGAGGCCGTGCCAATGCCAACCCAAAGCCTGGCCAAGCGGGCAGCTCTCCAGCGGGACAATTACCTGATTAGCTAATTACCTGCACTTGGCAGGGCCCCAGAGCACAGCGGCTGCCAGGCTGCTGCCTGCCCCGTGCAGGGCGGGCAGGAGCTGTGGGGCAGGAAGGTGCCAGGGACCAGGGGCACCCATAGACCCGCCCGAGGACCCGACAGGGTCCCGCCTGCCCTGCCCGCCCTGCTTGTCCATCCCCTCCACCGCAGCATCCCCGCTGCTGCCCCGCCGTTCTCCCACCCCACAGGGTCCTGCTCCCCGTATCTCACCCCAGCCGCCTCTCCGGGACCCACCCGGTGCCCGCTCCCCCACTTCCCGTCCCCGCACACCGGCTCCAACCGCTCCCGAGCGGCCCCGCAGCACCCCCTTCCCCTCGCTTCCCGTTCCCCCCCCCCCCCCCCCCGCCCGCCGCCTCCCGGTGCGGGCGGGTTCCCGCGCGGGTGCCCGCGGCTTGGGGCGGCGCGTGACCGGCTGCCGCCGCCGCCACCCGCTCCGCTTGCAGCGCCCGGCCCGCACCGGCACCGGCACTGGCACCGGCAGGTCAGCGGGGGGGCTGCGACCGGCACCCGCACCGGGGCCTCCCGTGCTGCGGCGGGCGGCGGGAGGGGGCTGGACGCGCCGCGGCCCGGGCACCGGGTACCGAGCATCGAGCAGTGGGGCCGCGGCAGGCGGGGGCCCGCGGGATGCGGCGGCTGAACCGGCCCCGCGATGGTGCCGGCCTCGCAGCCCGGCCCCGCCGCTGCAACCGGGCGGTCCCGTCCCCGTTCCCGTGTGCGGCGGCGGTGGCGGCGGGAGCGCGCGGGGCCGGGCATCCCCAGCGGGATGCAGCCGGGGACGCGCCAAGGTGAACGGTGCGCGCCAGAGCGGGGCCGCCGGGACACCGGGGATGGAGCATCAGGGATGGGGACACCGGGGATGCTGGGAGCAGGGACCACTAAGCACCAAGGACCACCAGCACTGGGGACACCGTGATGGGGACCATGAGCACTGGGGGCACTGGGAAGAGGAAGACCGGGAATGGGGCCACCGTCAGCAGGGAGACCAGGGATGGGGCCAGCTGGGAAGGGTCCCCGGGACAGCCATGACAATGGGTGTCTGTGGGCACAGTGGCCCCACGGCCGGTGACATGAGCCCCCCAAGCTCACAGAGCCCCCATCCCCGCAGGGCCGCCTGGCACTCACCATGGCTGCAGCACTGCTGGTCACCTGGGGACTCCTCCTTGCTGCCGGGGGCCCCGCCGGTGCACGGGGGCCGGTGCCGGCGGGGCTGACCCCAGGCAGGACCCTGCAGCAGAGCAGGGACCCCCGGCACGTCCCAGCCTGGGGTCAGCGGTGGCCGGGCCTGTCCCCAGCCTGGGAAGCCTCAGGGGAGCCGAGCGGTGCCGGGGCCCCCGGGGGTGAGCGCTGGGGCGGCAGCAGCCCCGTGCACTGGTTCCCACCGCTGCGGGCAGGAGAGGCCATGGGGGCACCTCCGGAGACGGAAAGCACCACGGGAGGTGGCGGCGCGGCCCCGGACGTGGCGGAGGAGATGCTCATCGCCGGGCAGGGACAAGAGGCCAAAGGCTGGAACAGTCCCCACGGGGGGACCTCGCTGCCCCATGGCTCTGCGCTGGGGGCACCAGGCCCTGAGGTGCCCGTGGACACGGGGCTGGGCTCCTCAGGGCCGCCCTGGGCAAGGCACAGCACCCCCAGCCCTCGGCCAACCGTGTCCACCATCGCCCTGATCCCCGCGCCGGCAGCGGGGGTGCGCAATGGGGTGGGGACAGATGCCCACAGAGGGGGACAATCAGTGGCGGAGGGACCCACAGCGGCCATGGGGACACTGGTTCCTCTGGGCACTGGCCCTGTCTCCCACCCCAAGGGCAGGAGTGCCCACACCAGCCCCGGCTCCACACAGTCATTGGGCACACAGGGGGACTTGGGGGGTCCCGCCATACCCTCCCTTGCTCCGCTCAGCTCTGCCTCACTGCTGCCCCCCGCAGCCCCATCGTTGGGGCTGGCTGAGCCCTGGACCCGGCCGCTCCCATCCCACCAGCGCAGCACTCGCAGAGCCCCGCTCAGCCACAGCACTGCCGGCACCGGGGACGCAGCCCCTCGCACGGACCCCGGCCCGATGGGACAGGGGGTACCCCAGCCTGCCCCGGGGGCTGCGCTCAGCACTGGCCCTGCACCGCTGCCCCCCAACTCCAGCATCACAACGGACCTCCCCGGCACAGGTAGGAGCAGGGGGGACCATGCGGTAGGGACCACGCTCCCTGTGGGTGCCAGCGCCCGGCTCTGCCCTCTTTCGCAGGGCTGCTGCCTGAGGAGGACGTCGGGACCCCGCAGCGGGTCCGGGGCGCCGTGGGAGCCGTGAGCATCCCAAACGCCACCGAGGCCGCCCCACAGCCAACAGCACCTCCCACCGCAGGGACAAACAGCACCAGGCACTCAGGTGACGCAGGGCTGCATCCAAGCCCATCCATTCTCCGTAGACCATGGGAGCCCATCCATGGGGCATCAGGGCTGGCGGGGGGGATGCAGCTATCTTGGGCCTCCCAGCCAGGGCACGGTGACACCTTCAATCAGGATTGCGCTGGGCAATGGCCCTAATCTAGTCCTGCCAGTAGGGATTAGTGCTAAAGCCCAGCAGGAGCGGGTTTCCACTTGGGGATCGGGGATGTGACCAAGGACATGCCACTGGGGGGTCCTGCTGGAGACCCCCAGAGGTGTCATCGGCCACAGCTATGGTTGGCATGGGGCATACCCCTGTGGATGGGGAGTGAATGCAGGGACCGCTAACCATCCCCTTTGTCTGGCCTGCAGGCTTCCCAGGGACAAACCCCCCTGCCCACGGCACCCCATCCCCTTCGGTCACAGCATGGCGGGCAGCGGTGACACCACAACCAGCGCCACGGCACCCATCCACACCATATCCACCACAGCCGCCACAGCCGCCGCAAACACCACAGCTGAGCCACCCTTCTCCATCACCAGGGTCCAATGGGACGGGGCTGCGCTGGGCCGAGCTGCGGCACCAGCTGGGCTTCACCTGGGAGACCCACATCTACGGGGCAGCCGCCATCCTCCTGCTGCTGGCGCTGGGCTGCGTGGTGGGGCTGGCCTGGGCGGCTGCTCTGCGCCCCCTCAACCTGCCCCACATTCTAGGGGCCCACGGGCTGCTGCTGTGCGCCTGTCTTCTGCGGGCCACCTTCCTGCTGCTG